ACACACACTCGACGTATCGACGTGGCTGAGAATTTGCCCCTCGCATATCCTTCTCACTGTTCAGTTTCCCCTTCATCCATCATGCTCTGCTAGCTTTCGCTCAGAAGCCTCATTTCATAATACGGTGCCGTGATAAGGCCTCAACATGAACCCGAGTGGCCAGGGCGAATTGCCTGGCGGCGCGGCCGCCATCGAACACAACATTGAAGAGAAGGAAAGATCACAACTAGGAATTGTTACGGACCAGCAGCAAGACACCGAGCCGCTCTCTGAGAAGAGTGCTGCTGCTCCAGTCAGCCCATCTACCCCTATCTCTGGCCATGCCAAATCTCCCACGACTGCTGTCTCGCCTACGTCGCCTACATCCCAGTCCTCTGACTCGGATAATCGTCCAGACCTCTCCAAGCTGGATTCCAAGATTGTTCAGGTTCGAGATGTCCCAGAGGGCGATGCGGCATTGTCCCATTTACCAGAGCATGAAAGGGCGGTTCTGAAAAAGCAGTTGGATGTGCCAGACGTGAAAGTCACCTATTGGACGCTATACCGCTATGCCACAAAATGGGACAAGGTCTTCATTGTCATAGCATGCATATGCGCAATCGGCGCCGGCGCCGTATTGCCTCTGATGACCGTTGTCTTTGGTAATCTCAGTGGTACTTTTCAGGGCCTGGTCCTCAACAATCTCACATCAAGTTTCGATTCCACTCTAACACGATATTGCCTCTACTTTATCTACCTGGCCATTGGAGAATTCTTTCTCGTCTATATTTCGACCGTTCTCTTCATCTACACGGGCGAGCACATTACTTCGAAAGTTCGCGAGCAATATCTGAGAGCAATCTTGCGACAGAATATCGGATTTTTCGACAAGTTGGGAGCTGGAGAAGTCACAACTCGCATCACCGCGGATACCAATCTAATCCAAGAGGCCATCAGTGAGAAGGTCGGTTTGACCTTGACTGGTGTAGCCACATTCTTTTCCGCGTTTGTTATTGGCTTCGTCAAATATTGGAAACTCACTTTGATCTGCACCTCCACAGTCTTCGCCATCGTGCTGGTTATGGGCTCTGGAGGCAGAAAGATGGCCGGATGGAACAAACAGTCTTTAGCAGCATATGCACTAGGGGGCTCAGTGGCGGAAGAAGTACTGGCCTCGATCAGAAACGCCGTCGCCTTCGGTACTCAGGACAAGCTTGCGAAGCAGTACAACATCCACCTGCTCGAGGCTCGAAGGTGGGGGATTCGAAGCAAGGCCGCCCTGGGCTGCATGATAGGCGCCATGCTGTGTATTCTGTTCTTGAACTACGGTCTCGCATTTTGGATGGGTTCGCGATTCCTGGTCAACGGTGAGACTACTCTTGCCCACATTTTAACCATTATTTTTGCCGTCATGATCGGTGCGTTCTCCTTTGGCAACGTCGGGCCCCATATGCAACATTTTGCAGCCGGTGTTGGCGCAGCGGCAAAGATTTATTCGACAATCGACCGAGCTTCCCCAATTGACCCTCTCTCTGACGATGGCCAAAAACTGGATCAAGTTGAGGGGACGATCGAATTGCGCAATGTCAAGCATATTTACCCTTCGCGAGCTGAAGTCGTGGTCATGGAAGACATCAACCTAGTCATACCCGCGGGCAAAACCACCGCGCTCGTCGGAGCTTCTGGATCTGGTAAGTCGACCATAGTCGGGTTGGTAGAGCGGTTTTACGATCCTGTTGGGGGTGTTGTCCTCCTTGACGGGCACGACCTCAGCACGCTCAACCTGCATTGGCTTCGACAACAAATCGCCCTCGTTCAACAAGAACCTATCCTCTTTAGCCAGACCATCAAGGAAAATATCAAAAACGGACTCGTCGGGTCCAAATACGAGAATGAGTCAGAGGAGCAGCAAACACAACGTATCATTGATGCCGCAAAACAAGCAAACGCTCACGATTTCATTTCCTCGCTGCCCGACGGCTACGAGACGCACGTCGGTGAACGTGGTTTCCTTTTGTCTGGCGGTCAAAAACAACGTGTCGCTATCGCACGAGCCATCGTCAGTGATCCGAAAATCTTACTCTTGGACGAGGTGAGTATTGAAGAATAGCCCTAATTACGAAACAGTCCATACTAACGGTGATCCCATAGGCTACGAGCGCTTTGGATACGCGTTCCGAGAAAGTGGTGCAACAGGCACTGGACACTGCAGCCAAAGGTCGAACTACTATTGTGATTGCCCATCGATTGTCGACAATCAAAACTGCCGACAACATTGTGGTTATGCAGCAGGGACGCATTGTGGAACAAGGCACGCATGACGAGCTGGTAGAGAGGAAACAGGCTTACTTCAACCTGGTCTCTGCTCAGCGCATCGGTAGTGACGAGGATGACCAGTCTGTAGAAGAAGCCATTGCCGGCGAAGCAGAACTCACCAAGATCCAATCTACCAGATCCGGTAGCGCTGGGATGGCAGACCCCGATGACGAGAAGCTTGCGCTTGGTCGAACAAGAAGCGGGAAATCAGTGTCCTCCAACGTCCTCGCCGAGAAAAAGAGGGACAAGGAAGCTCGCTATTCGCTCTGGACCCTGATCATGTTCATCGCACGCTTCAACCGAAAAGAATGGTGGATCATGTGTATTGGATTCTTCTTCACAGCTATTGCAGGAGCCGCTCAGCCAGTGCAGGGTATTTTCTTCGCCAAATGCATTGTGGCACTATCTCAACCACTATCCCTCCGCCACCAGATTCGTCACGATGTCGATTTCTGGTGCTTGATGTATCTGATGCTGGCCTTTGTGGATCTAATCGCCATGTGCATACAGGGCATCGCCTTTGCCTATTGCAGTGAGAGCTTGGTTCAGCGCGCTCGAGACGGTGCTTTCAGAAGATTCTTGAGGCAAGACATTGCCTTTTTTGACGAGGATGAAAACTCTACAGGCGCCCTCACGTCTTTCTTGTCGACCGAGACCACCCATCTTGCATCCATTTCTGGAGCGACGCTCGGAACCTTGATAAGTTGTTCGTCAACTTTGATCATTGCAGTTGTGGTGGCACTGGCGATCGGCTGGAAATTGTCACTGGTCTGCATGTGCGCATTGCCTGTCATCCTCGGGACGGGCTTCGTCAGGTTCTGGGTCCTTGCCAAATTCAGTGCAATCAACCAGAAACACTACGAAAAGTCAGCTGGATATGCCTGCGAGCATACCAATGCCATCCGGACTGTTGCGTCCTTAACGACGGAGCGTGAAATCTATGGCGAGTACAGGCGCCAGCTTCGAGACCAGTTGGGTGACTCTTTCAAATCGAATCTGAAGCACTCCTCGTTGTACGCTGCATCGCAGTCGGCCATGTTTTTGGCATTTGCGCTCGGCTTCTGGTACGGAGGCAAACTCTTGGTCCGAGGCGAATACACCTTGTTTCAATTTTTCATTGTCTTTTCAGAAATCATCTTCGGCGCACAATCAGCAGGCACCGTCTTCTCGTTTGCAGGAGATATGTCCAAGGCAAAGAACTCCGCCGCCGAGTTGAAGAAGCTCTATGACCGTCAACCTGCCATCGATGCGTGGTCAGACGACGGCGCACCAATCACTCGAGTCGAAGGAACCATTGAGTTCCGTGATGTGCATTTCCGATATCCCACACGACCCGAGGTCCCGGTCCTCCGAGGCCTCAACCTAACCGTCAAACCTGGACAGTACGTTGCTCTTGTTGGCGCATCCGGATGTGGCAAGTCGACAACCATTGCACTATTGGAGCGTTTCTACGACCCACTTGCCGGTGGTATTTATGTTGATGGTCAAGAAATTTCGAGCCTCAATATCAATGACTACCGCTCTCATCTTGCCCTGGTGTCCCAAGAGCCGACGCTGTACCAAGGAACCATCAAGGACAACGTCCTCCTCGGCGTTGACCGAGGTGAAATTAGCGACGAGCAGATCATCCGAGCCTGCAAAGACGCCAACATCTATGATTTCATCATGTCTCTACCAGACGGCTTTGCCACAGATGTCGGCAGCAAAGCCGCCTTACTCTCTGGTGGCCAGAAACAGCGCATTGCCATTGCCCGTGCTTTGCTCCGTGATCCTAAAATTCTCCTGCTTGACGAAGCTACCTCAGCATTGGACTCGAATTCTGAGAAGCTCATACAGGCAACCCTGGATTTCGCAGCGAAAGGCAGAACCACAGTTGCTGTAGCACACAGGCTGAGCACGATTCAAAAAGCGGATGTCATTTACGTATTCGACAAAGGTGTCATCGCTGAGAAGGGCACCCACCACGAATTAATGGCACTGAAGGGAAGGTATAGAGAGCTAGTGAGTCTGCAGAGTCTAGAAAAGCAGCGGTGATTTTGGGAAGCGGGTGGATCTTCAAACACAGCGGGTTTATTGGGATGGACCGCGATGGCCGATATCGTGATTTAATTATTTTGTTTGGGAATTCTGCATAGGCACCTCCTCGCTCCTGTCCTATGGATCTTGTCAGTGGCAGAAGTACATACCTCATTCATTGACTACGAATTCGCAAAACAAAGGCCGTTCCTTGTGTGGTTAAGGATTCGTCAACCAGGAGATAATGACATGTAGTCAGATAAAAGCAGATGGGACCGGCCAAACCAGAGAATCACTGATTCCAAAGGGCCGAAGAACGTTCAGTATATCTGAGAGGTAGAGCCACTCCCCGTTGAGCATTGGTAGAGAAGACAGCAGGGAATAATAATGGGAGTCAACCTTGAAAAGTGTGCCGAAACCAGGACGGTTAAGAGAAAACAGAACCTCGGCTCAGTAACCGCGTAGCTTGCGGGCTGTCGGGGACAATGAGGTCGTCCTTTTACTTGAGAGAGTCGAGAGTTCTGCTCAGAGAGGATCTGTGCCTGAATGGATAGACATCGAGATGGCATAAAGAACGGGGATGTGATTCGGAGGACATTGGGTAGCAGGATCCGCATGGAGGTCGTACAGTATGCTTAAGCGGTGTCTTGGATCATACCATTACTACTCCGTCCGACCATCCATCCACATCAGTCACGCTCGTCTATCCCTCGTTCGTCCATGACGTCCTTTAGTCTGCGGCCTTCCTTCTCCGCGATCAGCCCCAGCATCTCCATGGCGACGTCCTTGATCCCGTTGTACGTCTTGAGCAGCGAGATGTGTTTGTTGATGATCGAGTGGGCGTGAGCGAGGGCGGCTTTCTCGTCTTCCACGGACATCGACGCAGGAATGGTGGTAGAGTCGTGCTGCTGCTGGAAAATTTCCGGAACAGATACTTGTTGAGAGGAGGAGGAGGATCCTCGATTGAATCCCTGTTTATTCTCGTTTGCAGTTGACGCCGAGGTAGAGTAGGACTTGAGCTGCGTGATTTCTCGAAGCTTCGTGGATAGGCGTGCCTCTGTGGTGGAGATGTTGGATCTCAACTGCTCAATGGATGCCAGGAGCTTGGCCTGCTTCGCATCAGAAGGAGCCTTGTGGCGATGGTCTGATTTCGACAACGAGGTTGGTAGTTCCTTGACGATGGATTGGACTTCCGCTTGTGGTGCTTGAGGACTTTGTTTTCGGTGTGATGTTGGGATAGGTAGCTCGTGGCCATTCGACTGGTTGGAGGAGTACCTGTCGTCCTCCATATTCGACAACTACCTCGAGTTCTGTTATCGAGGGGTCAGGAGATGTTTGGTATAGGGTCGTCAGCCGCACTTGCTTGGTGTGTCGAATGCCCTTTGATCGCGCTGTCTCACCATGCTCCGAGACGAGGTCAGAAGACCTTTGTCAACTTGGAATCGTAGGATTTCGGCTTCAATGCATTGTGTGTTTCAAGGCATTGTCATTATGTGGGAAAGAAGAACATATCCGTATCCAGTGTTCGAGGACACTCCTTTGTTCTCACGAGCAAAGCGAGGCAGAAGTGAGGGGCGTCAGCCTCGTGACGGAGACCGGAGCGACAAATTGAGCAAAAACGAATGAATCCCTTCGAGTAAAATACATCGAAAGTTATATCCCCTTGAGAATGCACACTGCAGCGACTACAGAGATGCTCTACCAGCTGCGAATTTCCAGCTCCTGAAAATGATTGTCTTCAGTGCATCATCGTCACATTCCTTTTGCATGGTAGTTTTCGTTGATGATGTCAGACGCCTCCATTTTTCTCTACACCCCACTTCTAGACATGGGGACATGGAGTTGAATTTAATGTCAGACAGAAAATATCTCTCAATCAACTTTCCACCTACTGACAAACTGCGCCCACATCGAAAACAATCTTCTGCGACTCCTCTTTTGGACAAATTCTAATCCACCGGTGAGTTGAGGACGCGCCGGCCTCGATGGAGACTCTTAGACTCCCATTGTATCCTTGATTGCTCGGGGATTCGGCTCCAGACAACGCGCCGCCATGTTCACCATCACTCCCTTGCTCGGGGCGCAGAGCACGTCTCGAGCGTCGCAGTCGATCCTTGAGTTGGATGGTGGAATCAAAATCTTGGTGGATGTGGGATGGGACGAACGGTTCGACACTCGACAGCTGGCCGAGATAGAGAAACACGCCTCTACTCTATCCTTTATCCTCCTCACCCATGCCACCACTTCTCACTTGGGCGCCTTTGCGCACTGCTGCAAACACATCCCCGTCTTCACCCAGGTCCCCGTCTACGCCACGCCGCCCGTCATCGCCTTCGGCCGCACCCTCCTCCAAGACCTGTATTCGTCTTCCCCGCTGGTGGCAACCTTTATTCCAGGCTCGGGTTCTCCTGAAGATGGAACTAGCGTCGACGACAAGTCGCGGTCACACATCCTGCGCCAGGCTCCGACATACGAAGAGATCAACAAGTATTTTACATTGATCACTCCTCTCAAATACTCGCAACCTCATCAACCCACACCTTCTCCGTTTTCCGCCCCGATCGAGGGTCTCACACTGACGGCTTATAATTCGGGTCATACCTTGGGCGGCACAATATGGCACATACAATATGGGATGGAGTCTGTAGTCTACGCCGTGGATTGGAACCAAGCCCGAGAGAATGTTATAGCAGGGGCCGCGTGGTTTGGAGGGGTTGGGGGTGCCGAAGTCATCGAACAACTGCGCAAGCCTACCGCCCTCGTCTGCAGCAGCATTGGGGCGACAAGAGCCGCACTGTCTGGGGGTCGGAAGGCTCGTGACGAGGCTCTGCTGGCGCATATCAAGGTCTGTGTTGCTAAGGGCGGCACAGTTCTCATTCCTACCGACTCGAGCGCGAGAGTATTGGAATTAGCTTGGATCCTGGAAAAAGCGTGGTCCGACCCATCCAATGCTGTCTCCCTAAGACCTGCCAAAGTATACCTGGCCAGTCGGTCCGGCAATGCGACGCTTCGACATGCAAGAAGTCTGCTCGAATGGATGGACGACAGCATTGTGAGAGAATTCGAGGGCGAGGACGAAAATCCAGCTCCCACGCAGATGCACAGAAGAAGTGGCAGTAAGCAGATCAATGGCGCGAGCAAACCTTCGCGGCCTTTTGAGTTTAAGAACGTCAAGATTGTGGAACGCAAAAGCCAACTGGAAAGGATGCTGAAGGTAGAAGGGCCCCGAGTCATCCTTGCGAGTGATGTGACAATGGATTGGGGTTTTTCGAGGTCACTGTTGGATCATGTGGTCCAAAGGCCCGAGAATCTGGTGGTTTTGACCGAACGAGTAAACATGCGTCCCGGGTCGCAAAGCCCAAGTCAGGTATTCTGGACTTGGTACGAAGACCGTCAGGATGGCGTCGCTCTCGAAAAAGGGCTGCCAACAGGAGAATGGTTGGAGCAGGTCCAGAGTGGAGGTAAAACGCTCAAGCTACGAAATTCAGAGAAGGCACCACTGAATTCACAAGAGAATCAAAGGTACCAACAATACATGGCGACTCAAAGACAGCTGCAAGACTCTCTGACTTCAGCCAATGAGCGAGACCAGGCTGGTGCGGACGACAATATCGATGATGAATCCAGCTCAACATCCTCAGACGAGTCAGACGACGAACAGCAGGGCCGTGTACTGAATGTTTCGGCCGCTCTCGGTCACGGAGCACGGAATAAGCTGGCCCTGAGCGATGCAGATCTGGGAGTCAACGTTCTTGTTCGCAAAAAAGGCGTGTATGATTATGATGTACGGAATAAGAAGGGGCGGAACAGTCTTTTCCCATATACACATTCGCGAAGGCGCGGAGACGAGTTTGGGGATTTCATCAAGCCGGAGGATTTCTTAAGGGAAGAGGAGAAAGAAGACCAAGACACGGCCAACGACACCAAGTCCGGGGGCCAGCTCGGACAGAAGCGTAAGTGGGACGAGGCGAATGATACCAGGCACTCACAACACAAGAAAAGTCGAACAGCATTCGCGCCGGCCGCATCTGGCGATTCCGCAGCAGATTCAGACGCAGAGAATTCCGATGAAGACGTCCAAGTGGAACGGGAAGGATTCCAGGGACCGGCAAAAGTGGTATATTCGACCTCTGAGATCACGGTCAATGCCAGGCTGGCCTTTGTCGACTTTGCTGGACTGCACGATCAACGCAGTCTGCAAATGCTGATACCGTTGATTGGACCCAAAAAGTTGATTCTTGTCGGTGGCAATGCTTCAGACACTGTTGCTCTGGCCACTGATTGTAAAGAGCTTCTCGGGATGAAAGTGGCGGGAGCAGGAGAGGAACCATCGACGGAAATCTTTACTCCTGCAGAGGGTCAAACCGTGGATGCCAGTGTCGACACGAACGCGTGGGTCGTCAAGCTCAGTCGCAACCTGGCAAAGACGCTCCGTTGGCAAAATGTCAAGAACATGGGAGTGGTGACCATCCAAGGTCAACTCAAGGGCGAACCGCGGGGAGACAACCTGCAGGAGGATCCTCAGACCAAAAAACAGAAATTTGATACAGAAGTGTCTCTTGCCGCTGGCCCTCGGCCGGTGTCCTCTGTCGAACCGGTGCTCGATGTTCTCCCAGCAAGCCTGGCTGCGTCAACAAGATCTGTCTCCCATGCGATCCACGTCGGCGACCTACGTCTAGCTGACCTGCGGAGATTGATAGCATTGGACGGTCATATCGCAGAATTCCGAGGTGAGGGCACACTGCTGGTCGACGGCATGATAGCAGTACGAAAACTCGGCACCGGGAGGATCATCCTGGAAGGGGTGCCAGTCAGCTCCACTGCCATGACTCCGAGCAAGATGGATGACTTCACGCGTGTGAAGCAGAAAATCTATGACGGACTCGCAGTGGTTGCCGCAAGTTGAGGTCCAGCTCTAGTGAATACTGGTCACAAGCCAACTTTTGGTTTGCCGTTTTTTCCAGTCATGCTGTTACTTTTTCTATCACCACACGACACTCGACGTCGACGGCCCAATTCCGCTGTTGCTCGAGGCCAGTGCTGGTCCTTTTTCGACAAGGGCGCTGCTGTCCTTCGAGCTGCTCCCGTGGAAGAGCTTGCAGACGACTTCTGCTTCCTTTAGCTACGTCTCTTCAGTGACATTGTGGCAACTACCAACACAGCCTGACTGCGTTTCTTTGTCTCCACTGCGCAACCATGACATGAAGCCCGTCGTTTGCAGAGCCCAGGATTTCTCAACAGTCAGAGCGTGATTAGAGTGATAGAGGATCATGGCAAACCTGTTTATATAATGTTCTACATGTCCCTCGTTCTTTGAATGCCACGGTCCAAACGGTATTTGACACTTGGTCCAAGGCTGCTCACCCTGTCTCTTGCTTAAAAGCATTATATCCTCGTCGACGACCTCAACCATGGCGTGTGCACCACCTCCTTACTACCCCTTTGCAATGCCACTTCCAGCCCAAGGACCCGGCCTGATTGGCAAGACTGTTTACCATTACATGACGCGTGATGGGGGGCCACCGAACAAGGGCGCACCTCCAAGCGGACCACCATCTTCTGCCGGTGGTGGTGGTCCTCCTCCTCCGCCGCCGTATTCTTTGATGTCTCCCTGTCAAGGACCATTTTGCCCTCCTCCACCGAGTCGGCCCGGTCCATTTTTCGTTCCACCGGGAAATGGATTCCCTGGAGCAGTGTGTGTGCCTGATGGGCCACCACCGCCTCCTCCAAATGCGCCTACGTGGTATCCAGCACCACCACCACCACCACCTCCTCCCCCTCCTCCCCCTCCACCATCAAGTGTTGTAGGAGCAGTCGGCCACGCCGCTTCTCAAGCACCAGAACCACCCGTCAGTGGAAACCGAGTCAAGGATCGACTTCTGGTGGTCAAGGACAGTGGAGGGCACGGACACGTCGCCTCCAAACACGTTGCGACATTCCATCTTTTCACCTACAATGTCATTGACAAGTACTCGGTGAATGCGCACAACCAGTTTTACATTCCACCGCAGTCGTGCGAGCCATTCCGCGTCATGACGGCAGCGTATTCGATGCCCATCGAGGAACTGATTGAGCAGTTGGATTGCGTCCGAGTTGCGCCGCCGGTATACCCGCGCTATGCGATCGGACTGGCGGAGGCATTTGATATCGGCAATGGATGGTTTCAAGTCGGCAGCAAGTTCCACTTGGACGAAGATAAGTCCAAGCAGACCATCAAGGAGGCCTGGAGCAACAACATTGGCGAGGCGGGCGAGTCACGACCCAAGTATCTGATCCGGTTGCCAGGCAAGCAACCCGGTTCGTGATGCTTTGTGTTGGCCATGGATCATCACACATATTATCTTACAAGTTTTGCTACAAGTACAAGGGCCAAATCATCGACACGCGTACAAGACTGGACTGGATTGGACAACATCAACGGGGGACGGACATTTGCGGCACTGATGCAGGACAATGACTGGCTGGTCGGATAGTCCTGCCTTGTACAGTTAAAGGACTTGGCCGTTGTGCTCACGGGCGACCCTGGGCCATGGCTTTCTTGCCCAAATTGCGCAATTCATGAGGATTCGTCGAATATCTCTGAGCTCTCTTGCCTCTTTGGGGAATCAGCGTGTCTCGCAGTGTCTTTCGAGGCCCGCATTGAGTGAACAAGCAGAGCTGATGGATTGTGTTGCGGTGGATCTCGGGCTTGATAGAGCAGCCAAGGTGTACCAGTTACGAGTATGTTGAGCAAGTCTGGCAGTTCACAAGTAATTAATGGCTTTTGCATCCCCTGGGCGGACCATTCAGATAAGGGCTCCCTTGGTTTGGGAGGGGGAAGGGTTGGTCGAGACTTTGGAACTTCCAGGGTCTTGTCTCCATTTGCAGACGTACCAAATGGATAATATCTACGTAGTTGGAGATGATAATTAATATACATATCAATCACTCCTTCATCCTCTTTCTTGGTTTTTTTTTCTTCTCGACTTTCATCTGGTCCAATTCATTCTCTCTCTCTCTCTTCTCCTTGGTATTTCCCCCAACCATGGCAGCCATCTCCCAAGACTTCTCTTCCCAGCCGTCGACGGCCTCCTCTCCCGTCGCCCACCCACTATGCCCACTCACCGCGGCGGAGATATCCACCACGGCTGAGCTGGTGAGATCCGTGTGGCCCTCGACGATCGACCTCCGCTTCAAGGTGATTACGCTGGACGAACCCTCCAAGAAGTCCATGATCCCCTACCTCGACGCCGAGCATTCATCCGCCGGGTCGTCGTCTCTCCCCGCCATCCCACGCAAGGCCTTTGTGTCTTACTACATCCGCAACACCAATCGCTTCCACGAGGCAGTGGTCAATCTGTCCAGCCGCACCGTCGAGAGCAATGTCCGATTGGGCCCCAACCAGCATGGCAACGGCGACTACGACGAGATTCTCCAGGTGGAGAAGAACGCACTCGAGGACGAGGCCGTCAAGGAGGCACTCAAGAAATTGAAGTTGCCAGAAGGAACCGTCGTGTGTGCCGACCCTTGGATCTATGGTAAGCCTATGTACTTTCACTAGACCTGTGTCATTCTTCGCCCTTTTCTCTCTCGTGGTTGTTACGTGCTCGAGTGCGACGCCCTGGTAATGGGATTGTTTTGGGACCCGGCTTTGTTATGAAACACGAGAAGGATGAGAGATCTGATCTAACGGCAATCGTCCATCAGGATCTGACGGCGTCAACGATGACGAGCGCATGTACCAGGTCTTCCTATACATGCGCGACCCCAACAACCCGTCGGAGGTGGACAGCAACCACTACGCGTTCCCGCTGCCCATCTCGCCCGTGATCGACTGTGTCGAATACAAAGTTATCCGCATCGACTACCTCCCCACGGGGGCCGACAACACCATCCACGAGCCGCGACCGTACCAGGCCAAGCCGCCCAACGAGTACGTCAGCGAGTACCAGAAGTTGCGGACCGACATGAAGCCGCTGCGGGTGATTCAGCCCGAAGGGGCGAGCTTCACCCTCACGCCCGTGGGCGAGACGGGCCACCTGCTTGCGTGGCAGAAATGGAGCTTCCGTGTCGGTTACAACCAGCGCGAGGGCATGGTGCTGTACGACGTCCGCTACGACGGGCGCCCGCTCTTCTACCGCCTCAGCCTGAGCGACATGAACATCCCCTACGCCGACCCCCGCCACCCCTTCCACAAGAAGTCGGCCTACGACCTGGGCGACGCCGGCGCCGGCGCCATGGCCAACAACCTCCAGCTCGGGTGCGACTGCCTGGGCCACATCCAGTATCTCTCGGCCGTCATCACCGACGACAAGGGCGTCCCGACCCCGTTGGAGAACTGCGTCTGTGTCCACGAACAGGACGCCGGCATTGGGTGGAAACACACCAACTACCGCACGGGGCGTGCCGCCGTGGTGCGTCAACGGGAACTGGTCCTGCAGAGCATCATCACCGTCAGCAACTACGAGTACATCCTGGCCTTTATGTTCAACCAGGCCGGTGAGGTCATCTACGAAGTCCGCGCCACGGGCGTCTTGTCGACGCAGCCCATCGACCACGAATTGGATAAAGTGGGCGTCCCCTTTGGCACCGTCGTCCACCCGGGCGTCCTGGCCGTGCACCACCAGCACATCTTCTCGCTGCGTGTGGACCCCATGATCGAGGGACACGAGAACCGACTGGTCTACGACGAGGCGCACGCGCTGCCGCTGTCGGAGGACTGGAACCCGCACGGGGTGGCGTACGAAGTGGCCGAGACGGTGGTCGAACACGCGCAGGGCCTGGACCTGAACCCGGAGGCGAACCGGGTGTTCAAGATCCAGAACCCGGCGGTGCGCAACCCGATCAACGGCAAGCCGGTGGCGTACAAGATCCACGCGCCGCCGTTCCAGAAGATGCTGTCGCTGCCGAGCTCGTACAACTGGAAACGGGCCGAGTTCGCCGACCACAACATCTACGTGACGACGCACCGGGACCGCGAGCTGTTCTCGGGCGGGTGGTACACGAACCAGAGCCGCGGCGGCACGGGGGTGCGCAGCTGGGCGGCGCGCAAGGACAGCGTCGTCGACACGGACATTGTCGTGTGGATCCAGTTCGGCATCAACCACGTGCCGCGCATCGAGGACTTCCCCGTCATGCCCTGCGAGATCCTCAAGGTGAGCCTCAAGCCCGTCAACTTTTTCGACAAGAACCCGGCCCTCGACGTCCCGCCCAGCGAGCAGACCTTCAACCGCTCCACCTTGGTGACTGAGATGCACCACCAGCCCACCACCGAGGTCGTTGTCGGCAAGGCCGGCGAGTGCTGCCAACCGGGCGACAGCAAGAGTAAATTGTGAGGGTTGGGGGATAAGTACGCACAACGAGGACTGCGAACAAAATCAGAACACAACGGGTAATTCGACAGTGACAAGTCAAGTTGTTTTTGTTTACAGGTACCAGCTTTTTGGAGACCTGCAGAGAACTGCAGAGGCTGGGTCGAGGTGACTTCTCCCAAGAGGAACGCGGAAGCAACCTCGCTCGAAAGTTTTTTTTTTTTTTTTTTTTCTTTTTATTATTATTACTGGCAGGCCCCTTTTTGTTCCAATGTCTCGGGCAAAAAATGCTCGATGGAATGGTCGGAAGGGCAGAAAGCGAAGTGTCATGTTATGACATGTCATGTGGCCCCCCCGGTCACGGAGAGGCAGATCATGTTGACAATTGTGACGTGCGCGGGATGAAGAATCCGAGAAATTCACGAACTGATATGTAGGTGGGATGAATCGATTTTGATATGAACTATCGATATATATATATATACAGAACCTTGGAGTACGTAGGCAGGCAGGCAGGTATACAGTCCGTCGTACGCAGCAAAAGAAAATAAAAGTCAACCCCTGACCAAGTGACCAGTCAGTCCCCTATACAGTATCCAATTCCAAACCCCTGGCTATGGGTTTGGATGGGTAGTTTATTTATTGTGTCAGAGGCACTTGTCGAGCCGTGTGCACCCCCGCATACTACGGTAGGTACACGGCGAGACGGGTATACCTCGTATAGATAGCTACTTTGACATAATAATGCTCTAATATACCGAGTGGGTGTCGAGTATACTGTACTATGCTCGGTAGACGTGCACGACATGCCACGCGATGTTCATGTCATATTCTTTCACATTCTGTCACGTCGCGTCACGTCATGCCATGTCATCGTATGTCATGTCATGTCATGTTATGTTTTGTCATATTATGTTCTACAGTACACACATAAAGTTAGACATGCTATACTTGTAATCATAATCATAGTCATAGTCACAGCAAATCTTCAAGGTATGTACCTAGTAGCAGGCATGGGCTGTACCACAACCCCAACAGAAGCATTCGTTCACTTGTGATACACATGTATGCTCCGTACACGCTATGCACGTACTTGTGATGTACAAAAACCAACGATAAAAGACGCGAGAAGAAGACGCGAGAAGAAGACGCGAGAAGAAGACGCGAGAAGAAGACGCGAGAAGAAGACGCGAGAAGAAGACGCGAGAAGAAGACGCGAGAAGAAACGACCTCGTCTTCCTCCCCGCGAACATGTGAAAAACTGCGTCGCTTCCCCCCAAAAAACACCCCCCCAAAAGGTACTGTGGTGCCAGTGACAGTGACAGTCCGCTTCGTCTGAAAACGCGCAGAATAAAGAATATCCATGGCTGAGCTGAAAAAACTCGTCAGGTTCGTTTCATTGCATTGATCCTACTGCTCATGCACATGCCCAAGCTCCAAACAAATGTACAAATCGCTCAAGTTTATCATTAGAAGAAGCCCCCGTTGCCAACTCCGTCTGGACCGTCTGGATTCCTCATATTCGGATCTGGACTCCGTGGAGGGGGCATGTATAATCTCCGGCTGTCCTGGCCGCCTCCCAAGTGTGAGCTGGATTCTGCTCCCGCCCTCGACACAGGGTACGGCACCGAGACCACGCCGCTCTCCTGGCCCCCAGTCGATCCCGGATAAGGCATATAAGCCTGCTGCGTCGGTGGATGATCTGACGGAATGTCATATCGACCGTTGTATTTGTCGTCATAGCTCGATGCGAGTCCAATGTCGCTGACATTGTTCACGTCGTAAAAATCATGTCCCCCATCACTTCCTGCTCCAACAATCGGCGGCTGTGATGTTGGCATACTCTGGCTGTTAGCGAGCAGCGTGGCACCCTCTTCGTCTCCAAGACCGTTATAACGAGGCGGCTTAGTTGCGGCCCCCGCGTAGGGGATTGGGTGGTTCAAGGTATCCAATTTCTGGCCACTGGCGCCGAAATCGCTGCCCTCGGTATCTTTCCTAGACAAGTCGTAACTGGGATCATTGTGGCGAGTCTTGCGTCCCTTAAACAGCCATCTCGCCGACCGACCCGTGGCTCGGAGCATATCCATACCGTTAAAGGCATCAAAAATGGCCTTGATACCCAAAAAACCCCCTTTGTACGTCATGCGCTCGGACCCGTCACCGGGGACAGTGTCAGACATTTGCTCCTTGGAACCAATCACATATGGTTTCCAGCTAAAAGACCATATGTGAAAGATGGCAAAAAAGGCCATTTCAATGCACAACAGCATCGCTGGAATGCCCACTTTGATATCGGGGGTTTGAATGCGCTTGGTGGCCTTGATAAACCCGACGCTGGTGAGCACAGAAATGGCAATGGTCTGCCAGAAACTGAGGAAGATGACCAGTTTGATGGCCGTGATTTTCAGGAGAGGTTTATGCTGCCGGATGTCATCCTTGATCTGGATGTAGAATTGGATCAGGCAGTACATGGCGACAGTGATTGAGATGGTCTCGAAAATCATGACCCAGATGTGAGAGAAGGCTGGGCTGAGTGATTCGAGGCAATACAGGTCGACGGCTTGCGTGATGACCGATATGATTGTAAAGAGAACGCGGATGAAACAGTACTGGAAAATCGAGACCCAAACCACCTTTTTACAACCCCAAGTTAGCCGCGCAACTTCAAGCAGGGGAAAAATGGACCTACATTAAACCATGTCAACCCACTTTTGGGTGTCCTCAACAACCCCTTCTCAGTACCCCCTGTACACTTTTGAAAGTACCTCATGGGCCACACCCATTTCTTCGGGGTGATTGTTCGGAAATAGATCTTTTGCTGGTGTAGGTCGGGGGCGAGGTATGAGCAGAGCAAGGAGAAAAAGGAGGCAATTGCGAAAGCTTCGTAGCAATCTCTGATGACTTCAAAGTAGACGCTATGCCGGTAGTAGTAGAAGGAGAGGAGCGAGACGGCGGCGTAGATGGGGATCATGAAGAGGATGCGAATGGTGTGCTTCTGTTCCCACGGTTTCAGGTAATGCGTGGCGTGCATGAGGATCAGGAAGAAGGAGACGGCTAGGGCAATCATGGTGAATATCGCCGCGACCCAGAGGCCGATGGTGTGAAAAGTATGCCCATGCCATATCGGCTCTTCGGTGATGGCCAAATCCTCGTCGGTCGAATTGCACTTTGGCCAGCCCATCTTGGTTGCGTGTTATTTTCTTTCCCTTTACTAATCGTCCGTCAAAGACCAAGGCGCATTCGCATCGCGGTTCGGCGCAGGAGTTGAACTCTGGGAGAAAGTGTAGTGGTAGTAGTGAAGGTGAGCAGACTGGGCGAGAAGTGACGGTTTGGAGAGCGCCTCTGTCCTCTTGTCGCAAAACGAGTGACAGAGAGAGAAAAAGAGCGTGAGTCGAGTGAATTCAGTCAAGTCAATCCTGAGGCCTTCTTTCCAGATCGAGGCAGAGCGGGGGAAAATTACAAGAATAGAGAGTGAAAGGGGATTTCGATTCGATTGTCGTGCCTTGGAGAAATGGTTTCAAAGGGTTTCAAAGGACGACAAAGAGATGAAGATCTAAGGTTGACATTGAACAAAGTTTAGACGCAGAGACGCAGAGATGCAGTTTGGGGGTGGTTTGGCCCTTGCTGCGCCGCAAAATGCTGACCAGGGAGATGCAGGTCACCTCATGCAACTAATAATTCGTTAATACCAGCCCTGGGAGAACAGTTGAATTTGGGGGGCCGTCGCGAGGGTGAGGTACAGAGGAGGCAACCGGCCGAGTGCCTCGCACGTACTAAAAGAAGTGAAAGTGGAAACGAGGCACCAGCTGAAACGGATCTGCCTTGCATTATTGCCGCATTTGGTCCGCACTGGCCTTGGGCGCATCAAGCGCATCCATCCCTGTGGCTTGGTTGTTGGCGTCGATTGTTCGTTCGTGCTGAGTGGCTGACTGGAAGGAAGTGGCCTAGTGAGGTGAGCCCTACTTGTATCTATCCAACCTGCTAAGGCCGCCTGCGCCCAGATCCCAAGACCCCCCTCACTCCCTCAAGCAACCCAAGATTTCGGCCTAAGCTCGCACAAGCCCTTTATGCTAAGCAATTCCTGCCCACCTTGTCTCGACCAACGCTACTTACTCGGTACAAAGTAGTCGAAGCTCTGTTCCTCTACTATCATCATACCGAGAATCCTGCAGCCCTCACATCAGTATGATTAGCCGCCCGCCTGGCCCACTCACCCCCAGCTGACCTGCTCCTCCGTCCGCGCTCCCAGAATGCTGCCTTCTCTTTCGCTCCATCATTCACAACCTCGGACGTGAGGCCCATTGAGAGAGCGGGGATCCTGACGCGCTGCGCCGTTGTCTATTCCGTACTCCAGATTTCCTGCACCTCTTGTAACCACTGCCGATGCTTACCCACGTCGTTACGTCGAAGGCCCTCAACGATATCTCTTGCTCGATCAGACACAGGATAGATGCGGAGGTGTGTGTGATCTGACGAACATATCACATATGGATCTGCCTCAGGGTCCTGTTTCCTTAACAGAACCAGGCAATCTCCGCAAAACCACGTCTTCTCACATAGGCGACAGCACCAGAGTTCTGCAAAGTCGTCCTTAGCAGGGTCGCAGATCCCGTCGCAGTGCCGGATTCTCTTGGAGCTGGCGTACTTGCAACCTAACACCTCACCACTGCCCTCGTCCAGCCTGCGACCAGGATCCGTTCCCTCGTCAGGTGCTGTAGGCTCTGTGGTCAGTCCGTCCGTGAGCATCATAGTGATGCCGAAGGCGATTGCAGCGTTTTCAGTATCGTTGCCCATCATTAACGCTTCTCCAAGTTGGTTGTAGGCATCATCGTCGTTCCACGGATCGTCATCGTCCAGTTTGCGTATTGCCTCGGTGATGGATGGTTGGAAAATTGGCCTCCATATCTTTGAAGACTTTGATCGATAATCTCGGAGCCATACTCCATACAGAAGAGCCGAGTAGGAGGCGCGATACCGCCGTCTATCTTCCAGTGCAAGGCTCCTGAGTCTCTCCGGGGCTTGGGAATAACGTAATCGTTTTGATAACTTGGCCTCCACAGCCTCGGTGAAATGACGCAGGCTGAGGAACGCGGCAGATTGGTCTCGGATCGGCTTCATCCGCTGGCGGTAAGACTCGTCGTTGGCGTCAATAACGGATAGTATGCTTGTATAGATCTTGGTGGCCCCGGCTGCGTCTTTGTAATGGCGCATCAAGAAGTTTGCAGATCGCGCTGCCAGTCGCAGATCGTTCCACTTGGGCTTTCCCGAAAGGTCAATATAAGCAACACGTTTGAAGTTCTCTTCAAGCAGATTCTCTAAATCGCGATCTGGCCGTTTGTACAAAACCATGGCAATGATCCCGGTCAGCCGCTTGAACTCTTGTTCGGTGAATTTGTGTCGCAGGAGACAATGAAGCAATGAACACCCAGGCAAGAGTGTCTGGCACGTTGCAAGGTGACGCAGGACTGCTGCTATCGTGTCATAATCCTGAGTCCGGCTCAGAATCTCAATGTATAGCTTGACGCTGTCCATGATGACATGATCCGACGGGTCGTCTGCCCCGAATGTAAATTTTTGACAACGTTCATATGCCTCTCTGCCGATCCGACTGGCCTCCTTCTCGTAGTTCTCCTCGGTTTGAAGTCGCCAAAAAGCCGCGCGTGCTTTGAAATAGAAATCGACGCCGTAGGTCAGCAAGATCGCTGGTAAGGCCTCGATAGCTTTCTGCATGGCCGCTAGAGCTGGAAGGGGTTGTCGAAGATTATCACCGTAGCACCGACTGAGGCCTTCGTAGGCGACCCAAGCCGTGGGCTTCTCGATGCCATATAGCTTTCGCGTCCGAGCCTCCGCCAGAGTGATTGCCTTCTGAAAATATTCAATGGCTTTTCGGGTATGCCTGGTATCCTCTCCCTGCATCATTGTCCAGGCAACACCGGTAAACCAATATTCATCTTGTTCCAAGTTCTGACTTTTAGCGATTTGCTCGATCAGTTCCAAAGTGATCCGTCCGACTCGGCGAGTTCCTTTGAGTATGCTGACAGGGCCTTCGTTGTTTCCTTCCGCAGTCTGCTCAATGTCAGCGGCGGCCGATGTAGCGACGGCGATCCATTTGCCTTACCAGGAATTCGTACGCAACCAACACCCAAGTTTCTCCTTCACACTTATTGAACCAATCCATGTCATCCCATGCCCGTTTCGCGAGCCAGAGGCGGGCACATTCTTTGATTAACGGCTGTAAGAGAACCCTAGCAGAGTCAATGGCCTGTATCGCCCACGGGCGAATCTCAGGAGTTTCAAGACTGAGATAGTCGATTCCCATTGCAATCAATGCACGGACGGTATCCGTTTTCTTCCGGTCCAACAACCAAGAATCAATCGTGCTTTGCCACATCCCATTCTGTAAATGGTAGAACATCTTGCCGTCAAAACATAGCGAGGCTAACCTTGCACCAACTTGGCCACACAGATCTCGGGGCATCGCACTGATGTCGATCTCCAGCAAGTGAGAGACGCAATTATCCGCCGCGTACTGTTTGAGAAGATGTACGCCGTATTTCTGGGCAGTTGTCTTCATGGCAAGGTCAAGCAGAGCCTGCACCATTTGCATTCTGAACTCATCAAGGTGGCCCGGAACCACTCGGCAATCATGCCATTTCTTGGTTGACGGGTTGCCTTCTTGCACGAGATAATCGCGAATTCTTGCATGAGTAAAGGTGACGGTGCTCCGGTGCCATTCGTCAAAAATTCCATTGTTCGCATGGACACTGAGCCTTTTCCAGCTAAAATGTTTGAACGAGGGCCTGGCTGGCGTGTAGCCGGTCGCAGGTTCATCATCGTCGCTTTCGGTAGAGTCCGAGTCATCTTCAGATTCTTCTTTGGAAGAACGCGTTGACTTTAGAGTTCTTGAAGTATCGTCACCACTTGATTGCCGGATGACGTCGAAAAGGCTAGAGTATCTGTTCGTCAGATCGTCGGAGATTGTTATGAAACGCTGGCCAACGGTTTCCAGGAGGCAGACATGAAGTTCGGCTACAGTTAGCGGACGGCGACAACACAGGACCCAAGCGAGCAAGTGGGTCAAGTACTGGGTCCTGACATCGTCTTCGTGGTTCAATCTGAGAAACACCAGATGGATCATGTCCATCAAACCGGAAGGGGCATCATTGAGTGCTTCTTCAACCGCTTCAGCAGAAGGGCTGTCCCGGATCTGGTCAATGACCAATTTAGCCCATAAGAACATTCCCTGTGAACGTGTCACTATGCTGTTTTCGATGAAGGCTTCGAAGATTTGACATTGCTCTGGTTCCATTCTCCGGATCATTCGGACAGCGGCGATGTCCTTGGTCTGATGCCTCACATAGACACGAATATCTTGTTTCGTCTGGTCTTCCGTAATGTCGATGATCTTTTCTTTTCCCTGAAAGGCGGCATCCGTGCTGTCGAGGAGATTTCGAATTTCTGGCCGTGCAAAGACGGCCACCTGGATGGATATTCGTTCATGGTCGGACTGAGAGGCAAGAAGCCTCCTCAAGCAAGTCAACAGGGCGAGTTTTGCTTCGTCGTTAGCCTCGTCAAGCCCATCAATGATGATGTAGAGCAGCCCACGAACCTCTTCGTGGTCTTCCATGAAAGGTTCGTAGGACAGAAACAAGCGGTCCCACAAAGATTCCGCAGACGCTGCCTTTCCAAGAATGTCAGGATAAGTTCTGATCGTCTCGGCCAGATGGTTATAAAACTGTTGGTCTTGCTTGGCGATTTGTAGTGCAACAGCCATCAACATATGGCTCAGATTCTGGAGCTTCGGTTGGCCCTCCTTGAAATACATGTACCCTGTAGGCCGGATGGGACCATTGTCAGCATTCCTGGAGTATTTGTTCTTCAGAGATTCGACTGTCGCAGCAGCCAGAACCGTTTTGCCAACTCCGGGGCGGCCAAAAATCCACAGCAGCGAACCATTGCCGTTCTCCCATGTTGCAAACATGGTGTCATTTTGGATCCAGGTCCCCGTGGAGTCGGCAATAGCATTGGCGCTTTTCCGATGATGATTTCGCAATTCTTCCCACGAGTCATTTTTTAGTTTTTCAACGAGATCTGTCCTGGCATCCAAACGATCGTCACTTGCTCTAGATCTCAGAATCTCCTGCTTGATCTCGAGGACTTGTTTGTGTATGCTGAGGGTGGTTTCGCTCATTCGCTGTGTCATTCCAAAATTCAGACGGACGACATAGCCCAGCTCATCGTGCACCCGTTTCTCGAGCTCCGCGAGGGCAGCTGTGATGCTTTCATCGTTCTGAAACAGAGACCGTCCAAATTGGCGTAACCTGGACGGTTTGGCTAGTTTGGATTGTGCGGCCCCGACAATTCTCAAAAGGCATGACAGCACCTCTATAACGACTGTTTGATGCGTGCCGATGAGGGAGCTGTCCTTGTAACCGTCAAGGCAGCATGTGACAGCTGCCACCCGTTGAAACAACTCTTCCACAGCGTCATATGCGTTGCTGACCCTTTCACATGTGCTCAAAATATGTTGGACTGCAAAGAAAAGAACGCCGAGCGGTGCTGCGGGCGTTGATTGGAGACCTCGATCGGCAACCTCTATGATGAAGTGCAGGGGGAGGATACATTTGCGGAAGGCTGACACAACTCTGCGCTTTTCGTTTCGATGAGCTGTGAACTGATCTTGGCTTACGTGAAGGGCTTCGAGAAAGGCTTGAAGACTTCGTCCATTCGGGTCTTGGAAGTTTATAGGACCACAATGTAATTCGGAAGTGACTAGAGGGTGGTCAATGCTCTTCTCGTATTCGCGGATGGCATTCTCCCAGAGCGCTGCCAGAGAATTTTCCGACATTGCCGACGAGTGAGAGCTCCTCGACAGCCTTGTACGAGGGAAACTTCAGGAACAATATGGGTCTTGGATATCTAGGATACGCCTTGTGCTTGATGACAGCTCCACGTTTCTTGGGCAGGAGACCGGCATAAACAGTTTGGATATACCATGTACAGGCGGCTCAGCGGGTGCTTCCCGGTCGACGACGCATCGGTGAGATTTTAGTTAGCATTGCTCTTGCTTGTACAGCAACAACAATCAGAGTCGAAACGCTGTCACAGGGGTGCTTTCTTGAAGGCGGGCTCGCGGGGTATGTTTCATAACGGCTCAATAAGTGGCGTGGTCACAGACTTGACACTCACTGCCAATGGTCGGCTCGGTCAAGGACAGGTCCGAAAACCGATCCATTGTACCTGATGCAGTAGCGTCCTGCAGGCTTCGTAATAGAGCCTTCGTCTGTTCGACGACTTTGATGTCGCGGTCAGGATGGAGGGGCACTCACAAACACCAGCAAATCTTTGCCGGGTGTCCATTAGGTGGGACTCGATGTGTTTTCATAAGCTCAGAGAAACTTCTAGCTCTGGATGATGGCAGTCTCACACACGTTCCTCAAGAGAAAATCCAATTTAGCCACATTGAATAGAGCTTTGGAGAGGATCAATCGTGATCACGAAGACAAGAGACTTGGGAATCATTCGCCTAACTTCCTCGAGAAGGTTTTCCGAACACGATCCTGTGACATGCCCTGTCAAAGCTTCGCGCTTGCCTTCCAACAGTTAGACAAATATTCTTAGTGCAAAGACGTTGAAACTATGTGGGGTTTCGAGTATCTAATAGGCACCATTATGTAAGCCACTTGGGGTCTACGACTGTATACCGGGTGCTCGGTACAAGTATTCGGTAGGTAGACACGTAGACCACGATTCAATAGTCGGGGCCCCTAATGAGCTTGCACCGTACAATCTACGATCCGAACTGTGCAGTTCGCCGCGTAACTGGCCCCAGGATTGGGAGGAAATTTTTAAGGCGCCCAGCAACTTGCTCGAACGAGTAGGTCGGTTTCTAGTTTAGGGAGTGATGCTCATGCTCATGTCACAAGCAGCCCATCCTCATGCCCTGGTGTGCCCTAACAAGGGTCGGACCGGACAAGATGGCAATTAGGGTTTTGGTTGGAGTAAGCATACAATATCCTTACGGTACCTCGTACATCGCCCTACGAGAGTCTATATTTAATTCCTCCCCGGTCAATTGGCCCGCCCCTGACATGCTACTCTGGGTACACGTACCGAATAGATGGAAAAGTTCGTCCTCCACAGTACATGCTCAAGGTCCATAACAAGCGAAATGAAGACGACGATCCTACGACACCATCCGAAATCAAACTGCGCTTTCATAGCATTTTCTATGTTCCTAGCCCATCGTGCCCATGTCATATGCCGGGGGTATATTGTGAATGCAGCCACATCTGACTGACGACAATGATACAAAATATATACAACCAACAACCACTCACCTTTCGTGCCATTTGGCTTTCAGTATCCGGCCAGAGTTGAACTGGTTCGGGATACTTCTTCAGCCGCACAATGGTTTGAGCCGCTACCAAGCAGTCAGGTCGCCGACCTCTGCCTCCCCGAACGTACTCGACTTGGTCATCTGACCCACTCCATCTTTGACCTCTCCGTCTGGTCCTCCAATCCCCGGTTTGTTCATGAGATCTGGTATTACCTCTCTGAAGAAGCTCAACAGATAGCTATTCACTTGCTCAAATTGCAACAAAAAGGCATCGTGGCCCTCCGGGCTGTCGATCTTCCCAAGCCGTGCATTGGGGATACAGTTAGCCAGTTCTTGTTGTTCCGCAATGGTGAAAAGGCCGTCCGACTCAATACCGAGTACCAATGCTGGCTGTTCAATTTGTGCGAGAGCTTCCTGGACGGTGGGTGCCCGGTTCCGCGAAACATCGTGCGTGTCTAGCTTTCGCGTTATGGCGATGTAGCAGTTTGCATCGAATCGTGTTACAAATTTGGTGCCTTGGTATCGCAAGTAGGATTGTGCTGAGAAGTAGTGATGTGTTGGTCTGGAACTCTTCTTCTCAACAACGGGCACCGGTATGGCGAACTCGGTGGCTCCGTTGAACTGCGGATCTTTGAATGTCGCTGGTCGATCCTCGCTATCGGGTTCTGGCGACGATCCGGATGCAATGCCATTGCGGGACGCAGGCCGAGAGTCACGGGATCCTTTGGCCCGCTTGTTCCCATCGTTATGGATGCTCCAGTGCTCATTCTGGACACCATTCGTCTTCTGTCCATCGTTGATGGAGGGTTTCTTCGACAAATCTGGGATGTTGCGACCAAAACGAGCCTCAAACGAGTCCCGACTTCGGTATGTGAGGAGCGCCGACATGCGGGCTGCACCCAAGCCGGCGGTAGGAGGATCGTCAAACGAGTAGTAGCCGTCTTCATATTTGGGATCCGAGTAAATCGCCTGCCGCTGAGCTTCACCCCAGCTGATGCCCCAGGCGCTGTGCGTCGCTGACGTGGCTATGGGAGCAATGCTCCGCACGTAATCCTTCCCGTAATAGGCATACTCTAGGCTGAGCATTCCTCCCATAGACCCACCGACAACGCAGGCGATCTGGCGAACACCAAGGTGGTCGAGAACGATCTTATGTATCCTGTCACCTATCGTCAGTCTTATATACCAATTGTCTCACTCTGCTCTTTCCACTCACCTCACGTCATCTCTGATCGTGGTTAATGGGAATTCTGGCCCATATCTGCCTTGTTCCGGGTCACCGTCCTTGTTCGTCACTGGACTGGCACTACCGTAGGGACTGCCCAGACTGTTCAGACAGACAACGAAGAACCTTGTAACGTCAAAGGCCTGACCGGGCCCTCCCAACAAAGGCCCCCACCAATCAGCCACATCCGCACTTCCGCTCAGGGCATGGCATATAACAAGGACATTATCCCCGGCTTCGGAGAGTTGACCACGGACGGTATATGCGACGGGGACATTCTTGAGGACAACGCCGGATTCGAGGGTGAAGGAAGGGACAATGACGATTTCTTGGTCGGCGACGAGTTTGGCGAAAGGGTTTTCAGGTTGTCCTTTGGCACTCTCTACGGGATTTAGTAGCCATTCAATCATGGTCGTGGCGGAAGGGGATGCAGGCACAGCAATGAGCAGTAGGGAAGGCAAGAAAAGTAGAGGGGATACTGACGGAGTCGCGGAGAGACTGCCTGAGCCTCTCCGTTAGTCTTTGAATCCTTGTCCGCCATGGTAATCGTCCAGGCCTGAACAGACTGGAAGATGGCAAACTTTTTTTCTGATGCGCGGTGAAAAAGTACGGAATAATGGGTTTTGGGGATTGACTATTGTCGAGGGGGCGGTAACGAGCTTAAGTGAGGTCCATTGACTCACAACTCGTGTCTCGGAGAGGCTCGTATGAATCCGGTGTGAGGACCGGGTGCAATTGTTGTGAGTCAAAAATGAAATTCAGTCGAGGGGAATTTGACCCACCAAGTTGAAGTTGATATTTCGGCAGTGGAAGTCAGCGCAGGCGATTTCACCGCTAGACGGTGGGTGCCATTGGCGGGGCTGGTGGCATCATCACACACCAATCGTAATGGGGGGATAGAGAGCCTCGGTTGAGCCCCCAAATGGCAGCTTTTCCGAACTCGCCCCCTGAAAAGAGCCAGAGAGCAAGCCGCAAGGCTGTGGACAGGGACGAGAGCAAAGCATCTTGAGTCCCCAACAACTGACAACCGACAACCAGTTTATAATAAATCGAAATGCTCCCAAATCTAGTTGCGTATACCGCTCGTTATTCAAGTATACGAGAAATCACATAAATCCCTTTCAATGCCCTTAGAGATTTAGCTGGAACTTGGGATGCGTCCTTATCCTCTCGCCATACTTCAAGAAGATCCAGATCATAGGGGACATGGCCAGTGAGATGAATGCAAGAAGGCTGTTCCCCCATCCGAGCCCCAGTTTGTTGTACATATCTCGTCCAGCCAGGGGGAGGACTGCACCCCCAAGGCTACGGAGGACGGTATTGGCCGCCATGGCGCTCGCGGCATAAAGGGTGAACGCACTGGGATGAAGTCAGTCACGCCGATCAAAAGGCTTGGGGAATCAAACTGCATACTCAACCAGATAAATAGACAGCGACATGAAGGATGCGACCATGCCAGCGCCAAGTAAGACCGTCCCTATGATGGGAACTATCCAATGCACTTTGTACTGGGCAGTCCACCCGTACAAGAAGAGGCCTGCAGGTATAGTTACCGCACCCGGCCAAAGCAATGGCAGACGGTATTCAGGCTTCATCTCGCCATCTTTCGCCAGCTTCCTCAGCAGCTTGTCGGAAAATGATCCAAATATCAACAGTCCGATAAATTGGCCCAGTCCGATGCCTAAGAAGACAAGTCCAACATTACTAGGACTAATGCCGTACTGATCTTGAAAGATAAACGTCATGGTTGTGAACATCAAGTAAAGATATCCGTACACAACCGCCAGGTACAGAGAAAGAAAGAATATGATCGGCGACAGAAATAGCATTTTTGTTGGACGGACCACACTCAGCATAAACAACTGCGAAGGAGTCCTGGAAGATTGAAGAGCAGACCGAAGCTTGTCATTGCCTGTTTCTTTTCGGAGTCGCCTGACTTTTCTCTCGAGGAGAACGGGCGGATATGTCTCTCTTTGAAAGATAAGTGCCATGGCGAACATGACTGCGGTCTATTTCAAGTCAGTCCTGCAATAGGATTCACACGCCACCGAGAGGGGGAAGGGCATGCATACACAAATAGCGAGAAGATAGAAGTTCCACTGCCACCCGGCGGCTTCAGAGAGATATGATCCAACGACAGGACCCAGACTGTCCACAGTCAGCACCATTACTTCACAGATAGTATGCGCCGGGTGGTACACACCTTGGTCCAAACAGAATTGGAAAGGTCCAGACACTCATGACCTTTCCGCGCTGGTCTTGTCTAAAGGTATCTGCTATAGAACCAGATCCGACAGTCAAGGGACAAGAACCTGCCAGACCGGCCAGGAAGCGAAACACAATCAGCATGGACAAGTTTGTCGACTTGCCACAGGCGAAAGTGAATATCCCGAAGAGGAATGTGTTGACATGATAGACCGGCAGTCGCCCGTACAATTCACTCATCGGAGCTCTAACGGTGGATCAGCCACAGATGTCTTGCAACAAGGGCATCAGGCTCGCGCACAAGCCCCAGATCAATCGAACAAGGAAACAAGCACTCACATAAACAGTGGACCAAAAGCATACCCGAGCACATAGACGGATACGGAGAACGATGCTAAGTCCTCACTGTTGGAGTGAAAGTCTTTCATCACCTGGGGTACACCGGGTGCAAACATGGACGAACCGAAAGGTCTGAGCAGCCGTCAGTATCAAGGATGTAATGCTTCCGGGCAGTCATTCTCTTGGTCACCGACGTCAAAATCGTTATCGAGGACAGCAGAGCAACGTTGGTCCATTTCCTCCGCGCAGGCCAGTTCATAGGGTTCTCTGGATCATTCGGACCGTCCCAATTGACCACGTCTGGATCGGTCGTCGTTTCTACCGTGGTGGTTATGACATCTTTCTCTTCAAGCACCGACAACGCCTTTTCAACGTCTCCGTCGTCCACATGGGAATTGTTGCCCCTCTCCAACGAGCTGGATACGCTTGGGGTAATGCGCTCAATGTCGGTGGGTTTCTCACTGGGCGCCATGGCGCTATCAACTTTCCTCCTAGCAAAACTGGCTGGTTCGAGATATGGTTTCCATCATTCCGGGTACGAAGCCTGCGGAATGGGAGGGGGAAAACGCGACGAGCAAGCGGCTCTCTTTAGTTATAGGTTCTTCTTGGGACGACCTTCCCATCATGGCAAAGTTCCCCATCCATGTACTTTGACCGAGGCGGACCGCTGCCCGGTGGAAAAATTCATGCAGATTGCTGGCTGGGTTTGTGGGTGATTAGAGGGCATCGTTCGTGCGCTCTTGGACCGGGTGTTGCGGCACAGGTTGCGGGGTCTCGTCTGTTGGGATGAATGGGCACAAGGGATCTTGCCAGGGATCGTCCAATTCTTCCGTACGAGGGTATCAGGAGGGGGCGAGGGCTCAGCGAGTCGGCGGATAGAGCCTTCTCCAGGCTTACAGTAGTGTGAGTTGGGCTGCGCAAAACTTCCGCTGGAAGGATCAGTGTGTAAACTGCGAGTCAGTGAGTAGTGAGTACTCGGTAGTGAGCGGTGTGCCAGCCACCACGGCTATTTACATTGGGCATCGTGGCATCACCCAAAACGTCTATACCTAGGTCTATTTGCTCTGTTCACCTCGGTGTTACTCCAACTTGATCCTTGTTAGCTCCTCAATTTGACCTCCGTCTTGATAACAAGATTTCGAGATTGACTCTGTTATCAAGCGCCTTATTTGCTATGCTAGATCCTGACCTTCTTGTTTCAATGTCAAGAGGCGAAAAAAATACACCTTCGCCGGTCAACTAGAAATGGACCATCCCAACATCCCCCGCATATCTGCATGGTTCTCATCAGGGATTCAGACGCCAATCTTCATGTCCAGTATGGTGCCTTCAACCCCGTCAAGTTACTCAAGATCCCCTCGTGATCTCCCGTGTCTTCCTTCTTCCTTTGCCCACTCAGCTCCATCTGAATCGCCCGGTGCACATGGACAAGCCAGTCCACATAACTTTGAGCCTCGTTGTTGCGGTCTTCTACCAACATCCGAGCATATTCGAACTCCGAACCATCTAGTCCTTGTCTTGCGAGTGTGAAGCTTGCAGCCTTGCTCCCACGGACCGTGGACATGTACTGCAACAGGTTCCGCACTTGGGCATTCAGATGCGTCTCCAAGACCGGCAACTCGTTCAGCATGGGATCGAGGCTTTGCAGGCTGGTTTTGCCTTCTCCAAAGAGATCCTCCAGCAGGTTTGGCGACACTTGTGCGTGAAGCCAGAGCAGCACATTCTGTCCGTCATCAACCAGATACACCCCGCCTTCCTCAACTCTGCCAAATGATGCCCGGACAGTAGGAGGGACCACTAATTGCATGGTCTCGGCGTTGGCGAAACAATCCTCGGCACTCAGGTTGTGGAGGGCGTATATCCGTGGATAAAGATACAGAGCTGTCTCTGTCACGCCGGAAGATCTCATCAGCCGAGCCGAATGGACCCTGCGATCGGTAGGCTCAACACCTCCTGCATCAAATGTGTCAGTGCAAGAATCTCCCAATTTCGCTGATGCAACTATACCTTTGAATGCCCGACTCTTGATCAAGCCGAGCGTATAGATGGCAAACTCCTTCAGGTGCTCTGGAAGCACGAGCTGTCCCGGAGGATGCGAGCCGGAGAAGTTCTTCCGGTATCCCGCCAGGATATCGATCGTCTTCTCCGTAATACCCGCGCGAATGTCCTTCAGGGACTTCTCCGAGATTTTGGACGAAGCTTCTTTGGCAATGATGTTAACAACAGCGTCCTGATCGACGGTCCGCATGGTGTCGGCAGCGCCTTCGTTCACCGCGGCCACCACATTGATGCACCTGACTCTCCTCTGTCCGGTAGCAGAGGTGTAAAGGAGCGCTGCTTGGAAGTGGGCATCCAACTTGGCATCCAACTTGCCGTCGTAAGTAAACGTGACCCCTATGGCTTTGTCGGCGTCGATAGTCCCAATCTCCAGATCCGCTCCGAAGGAATGCTGGAGAAACGACCCGTAGTAAGCAGACACCTGCAAGCCGTTTGAGCACCGCACCTTCATCAAAGCTTGGTACCCTGTCTCTCGGTGTAAAGAGTGCTCGATTTCGAGCCGCAGCTTGAGAGAATCTCGAGGAGCGACGAAATTTGGATAGAAGAACATCTCACCGCCCGTCAGTCGTGACATATGTCCTATTGTTGCGATGTCCATATATCCTCCACCTGCAGCGGCCAGGAAAAAGTCCACTCCGATACCTGCAGTCACCATTGCCCCAGCGGTCTTCTTCCAGCCCGGGTGCTCAGTAGTGAACAAACGGCGTTCTGCATCTGTGTCTCGGCCTTTGCCATCGTCCCTAAGATGCAACCTCCCGGGACCCCAAGTGGGCAATGTCGATAGTGAACAGATAATTTTGCCCCCAGTGGCAGTCAGGGCGGCCAGGGCGGCATTAAGCGCAGGCAGTAATGCAGGCTCTGGGTGCTTGATTGTGGAGAACATGGTAGGGATAGCTTTCAGGAGTGCTGTGATCACATCTTTCGATTCTTGGGGGTCGACAAACAATCCGTCTGCCAAAGGCACAAAGGGGTCTTCAAGGTCTGTCACCACCATCATTTGAGCGGTGTCCAGGCCAGGTGTAAGATTGTAGAATTGCACCTCCTTGTCATACGTAACAATGCCGACCCTGGCCCCTGCTGGTAGTCCAATGGACAACGTATCCTCACCTGAAGACATCTCACCTTCGCGTCCATAGATGCTATCCAGGATGCCCTGACAAACGGCGTTGACAAACCCCTTATTGATAGCCTCCTGGGTGATGTCGATCATGAACAACCACCGCATAGGAACTGGCTCCTTTGTGTAGTATTCTTTCGGCACGAGATATTCCACAGTCCCCATCATGAGTTCTGGCCGTTGTAACCGGTCAACCCTGACACCAGCCGCGTCCGTAGGTGCGAAGTACTCAGGTGCCACATCGTTGGGGAAGCTACACATGTTGCATACCAGTTTGTTACCGCCAGATCTGAAAGTCATGAAGGGGTTGATGTATGTCCTGCATCTCCGACAGCGAGGAGGGCCGAGTTCGCCAAAGTCTAATACAGGGATAGGCTGTTCGCCTTCTTGGAGGGGAGCGAACGGCTGCAGAACAAGACCCAGTGGAAGCCCCGTTGACGCAAGAGCCTCGGCCGTTGAAGGTATATTGTTGACCGTCAACCGTGCGAACTTGGGTGAAGAATTTCCCTGGTCGTGGGTGACGAAGGGAATAGCCGCGGGAGGTGGAAGATGCTTCTCCATGGTTGGATAGACATTGAGCTGGTAATATTGTGTCGCAACGTCTCGTGATCTTGCCACACTCGGGATTTGCTCTGGGTCAACGCGTCCTTGTGTGGCCACAGCCTCCTCACCCATGCGCAGTCTGTCTGCTGAGTTCACAAACGATGTCTCCGCTGGTTGTCCCGCAATCACCCCTGGCCCAGCGCTGGGGAATTGGGTTCCTCCAAAAGACCCTGCAGGTGCTGCAGCGCCCACTGGCGCCGTCGGTGCTGGGCCTATCTCGTGATATGCATGCCTCTCCTTCTTTCTGTGAGATCGTGCGGGCGCACCCGCCACTTCTAGTCCTCCCATTTGTGCCGCCAGGCCATTCATGGCATCTTGATGTTGAGGTATATGCCCCGCATCCTGTCCCAGAGAGGGCGCCAGTTGTGCATTGGCTTGGACATGCTGAGCGTTTGGATCTCCACCATACTGCGGCCAGCCTGGCTGTGGGCTGACCGAGGGCTGGAAACTCGGAGGGTGTTGTTGGGTTTGAGGATTCGCATATCTGGGATCCTGATTCATTTGGTAGGGCATGCCATGACCACTACCATATTGGGAGCCGTAGCCTGCCATTCTCAAAGCATCGACACAAATAACTTTAGGGAGTGGACGGACGTCGCTTCATAGTGATGGTGAAACGGGCGGGGTTAGCATCTGAAGAGGGTTGCACACTATCGAGCAGTAATGTCCAACAACCAAGTGGTGATTGCAAGTCGAGGATGTGATTGAGAACAGGAAGGACAAGTGGCATCAAACAGGAGTTGGACAAGAGACGTGATGCCACTAGAAGTGGGACATCGAGACGTGTTCTTTGGCAACTTTTTTGGGAGACGCCAAACTCCAAAAGCCGGCTTACCTGCTATAAGAGAAAGTCTTGTGTGATGGCCGGTAACCGCCTTGTCACTTTCACAGATTTGCAACTCACTTTGTTCCTTACTTGCCAGGCTTGTCTACTAAAGCACTGATCTATCCAATTCCCCTACGGTCAGGACTTCAAGCAGACCACAAATACTAGGTGGTGCACATCTGTAATAACACATCCTGAATTGGGGAAAATAACTAAGCTGGCTTCATGAAAGCTCAAGTTGACTGTGGGCTGCTCCTGTCCATGGTATACAACGCTTCCACATTCATACCCAGTGTGTCGTCCAGATATTGGCACAAGCATGGCAATTCTCAGTCGACCATACCAGTCCATTTTGGCTGGGGGTCAGCGTCGCGCCCGTTTGCTTTCGCTTGAAACCCTTGATCCTCCTCTGCCTCCGCCGCTTCCATGGCCAGGACCCCCATAGTTACTCGGTTCATCACCCCGCCCGTGTTTCCTCGAGGATGGATTGTCATCCCTTGAGGGAGCAGATCTCGAATACCCAGTTCGCCGATCGTCTGCCTCTGGCGGGTGATTCTCTCTCCTACTCGGCCTCTCATCCCGCCTCGAAACATCACCGAGTCCATATCGATCTTCCCCTCCATCTCGGCCATTTCGCTCACTCCGATGTTCTCTATCTCCACGTAATTCATCATGCCGACTTGAATGTCGTGATGGTCTCCTCTCAGGTCCGCGCTCTTCGCTAAGTTCACTCCTGCGATCCCTGTTGCTGTCGTGGCGTGATGACGGAGGTCGGGTGCCCACCGGCACTTCGTTAGGGTTCGAGGAAGCAAACAAATCGTGTGGTGGATAACCATTAGAACTTTGATTGTGGCCGGTAGCCGCCGGGCCACCGGGCGGTGGCGGCGGTGGTGGCGGAGGGGGCATGTGCGGACCAAAGTTCGTACTACTCTGTCTCGCATTGCCTCGACCGCGGATCGAAGTACCAGCCTGGGCAAGGGTGTTGTTGACAGCGGCGAGAGGGTTGCGGTTATTTCGTCCCCCGCGCATGTTCCCGTCTCCGGCCTGTGGACCGGATGGCGGACCTCTACTTGTGGGTGACGGCCCAGACGGAGCTCCAGGAGGAGCACTTCCTCTTGGACCTGCTGGTGGCTGAGTCGGTGGCGCAGGTGGGGCACCCTGACTTGAGCGCGAGGTTTCCGAGACTGCTGAATCGATTTGGCTGAGGCGAGAAGGATGAACACCTGCCGCATCAGCAGCAGGAGTGGAAGGCGTCGATGAGGGCTCGGCATAGGAACTAGTCCGTCCATGTCGTCTCGAAGGTCCAGTAGGAGTTGGTCGATCGGTATTCGAGGATGGCGGCACTTGCGTATTGAGTGGAGGAGCTCTCATCCTCGATCCTCCTGATGTTGGCCGACCACGAGGCCCAGAGGGCACATCAGACTCTTGACCACGATCCGGGGTCTGCGAGCCGGCCGGTTGCTGCGTCGATTCTTGCTCCAGCCTGCCGTGCTGCAAGTCAACGGCAGGGGGCTGTCTGAGGTCCCGTGGGTCTCTCTTGTACGAACTTGCTGCACTAGAACGAGAAGAATTGACAGCTGGCTCGAGAGAAGCAGGTGTGTAAGAGATTTGCCGCGTGGATGCAGTTTCTGGCCTGAGCCGATCGTCCGCGTCGCGACGGGGATACGCCCGCCGGTCATCTTCTCTTCTTGGTGAACTCGGCCGTGATGATCGTGTCGACTTCTCTTGCCCAAGCGCCGTCGAACCCGGAAGCGATCTTCGGTCACTATTGCTGTCCCCAATCAACGAAGTGCGCGGTGGATTAACTATCGTCTGTGGAGGCTCCGAGACGATGTCCTTCTTCTGAGGAGGTTGTGGTTCTGGTCTAGAGGATTCCAGAGCTGATGGAGGTCTTGATCTTAGAGCGGCTCCACGGCCTTCCCGCTCACGTTCTGTTGGGGGAGGGCGCACGGGTGGACGATCTCTCTCATGCGCAGGAGGTCGATCGTATGGAGTTCTCCTGTCGTGCTCTCGACCGTACCCTCGCTCCTCACGGGTGCCATGGCCTGAGCCATCCGGGCGTTCATACCTCCGGGCATGTCGCTCATAATCGTCAAAGCCAGGATCCGAACGGTCTGGTCGGTCTGGTCGGTCCAACCCTCGGTATCCTAGTCTTGAATCTCGACTGGTTCGCACGTCAAGTGGCAGTCTCGGAGCGTCAACTTCCAAGCGACTCGACAGGCGTGGACTTTCTCGATGACCATTCCGGGATTCCACCAGCTCTGGTCGGTTCGGAAGATTCGCAGAAGGCCGTGATGGAGGAGGGGTAAGCCGCCTGGGAAGTTCATGGGGCTTGGACGTTTCTGCGCGCGGAGGCCTCGACTCTCGTTTTGCGTTTGCTAGAGGCTCAGTGCCTTGTCGAGACGGTGTCGAGGCGCCGTTGGTGTTCCCCGGTCTGGAGCTTGTTCTAGAAGCTGGCGTATGGGGGCCGCTGGTAGCTTGGGGCTTCGCAGTCTTGCTCGGTTCTTCACCATCTTTCTTTTCGGGAGCATCTTTCCCTTCTGACTTCGATGGTGCATCCGTCATTTCAGCATCCTTGACTTCAGAATTCCCTTCCTTTTTGGTTGCCATAATGCTGGCAGCTGGAGATTCTTGTGAGGAAGAAGTTTTCTGTTGGGGTGGATCACGCTCAGGCTCGCCGTTCCTTTCTGGCCCTTTGCGAAAGGTGTCCAACCCCACCCACACCTTCTCCCGCCTATGTAAGGCACCTAGCAGGGCTTGAGATGAAACTTTCAGATCTTCTTTGTCGGAATCGCGGAGCCTATCGACTGCCTTCTGCAATCCTGTGCCGTGCCAATTGACCGCGGGATAGACCCCTGATATCACGCGTAGGACAGAAATCGCGTTCCTGACGTGCATGTATTCTGGGGATGTCAGACATTTCTGAAGAGCCGTGTGGAGATTCCCATGCCATTTGTAGAGCACTCTTTGGAAACTCTCAAAATCCAGCAGGGAAACGACTTTTCCTGCTTCAACTTTCATAGCAAACCCAGGGAGATTTTTCTTAAGACCCCAGCCTTCCCGTTCATATATTGTTTTAGAAGCATGCCAACGAGCAAGATCTTTCAGCACCTCATTGAGGAATTTTCCCAGATTGTCTGCTTCTTTTGATGTGCACATGAATATCAGTGAGATAAGTCGGGCAGGCTTGAAGAAAAGATCGTAAAACCCGAGCGTTCTGAAATTCGGTGTTCCGGCCCCGTGCAGAAATTTGACAAATTTGAAGCAGAAGTAGGCATCCAGCGGAGAAGACAGCATCCGGGGGAGGAAGCAATGCTCGATGAGCGTGGTGTTCAATGCCTTGTCCATCCTGGCTTTTCCGAGGAACCATTGCTCCTTCTCGCGCTGTAGCCGAGCTTTGCTCTCTGCAAAAGCTTTTAGATGCTCTTTATTTTCGGCGAGTAGCTTGTCGATGAGATCCTGTATTTCTCTCTTCGCGAGCTCCTTCTTCTTTGTTCCAGAAACACTGACATCGGTGCGGTCTGCCGAAATCGCTGCGATTTTCTTATGCTGTCTGGAGAGCTCGTCTTCATACGATTTGCCAGGGATGGTGATATCGTACAACGACAATTGCCAGAACGTCGCGTAGAACCCAGTTCCCACAATGTCCACAACGTCTTCGGGGAGGTGAGGTTGAATGGCGGTCATAAGCTCTTTCATTACGGGATGCCAACAATCATCTGTCGTTGCATCTGACTGTGCAGGAGTCTTGCTAGCATCAAGTTCAAGCGCAGGGCCCATTGTGTCGCTTGCAGCTGGTGAGTCATTCATCAGATTTTCTGTTTCAACAGCCTCGCCATCCTCCTCTGAGCTGGCATTTATCTGGTCTGACATTTCAACATCACCATTCACCTCTTTGACTTCCTCGGTTCGCTGGTCTTTTGCATTCTCTTTGTCGTACTCCTGAATTTGCCTGGAAATCAAGGGCCGGCTGATCCAGAATGCAATCTCAGGCCGAATTTCGTAGTCAATGAGCAGGCTCACCACATCAGGAATCGTGGCTCGAAATTCTTCTGGGGAGAGGTTTGTTTTCAGAAGGTCAAGATACTGCACCATCACTCGATGGACCTCGTCGTAGGTGTTGCCGATTGCTTTAAGAGGCACTTGTTCTTCCTCAAAGACACATGCTTGTCGTTGCTGTGCCATGGAAATCAAAAATTTAGCAGCCAAACCTGTGTCTTGAAGTGATTTCATCAGTCTCTCCGAGGTCTTCTTCGAGTCATGCCGTCGATCAAGCAGTTGAAGGATAGTCTGAGACTGCAAGAGAGGTCCGCCCCCCATCGCTTGTAATTGTGCATCGTTGTAACTCGTGTCAGTTGCAATTCCAGCCATGGAAAGTACAATCTGTTCCAGCATCTTGAGGTCCATTGTATTACCATGCTCAAGTTGTTCGGCAACGTACTGTAATATTGGACCAGGCTTCATCATGCCGTATCGTTTGTAAATCTTCCCTGCAAACACTGCAAGCGCTGAAAGCCAGCGACTCGCGAAGATGCCGCCCTCCTGAGTACGGTTTCTTCCAGTCCTTGCCATTGAGCTTACAATAGCCCAAGTGAGAACATCATAACCTAGATCCGTGAAATACCGTGCACCTTCGACGAACACTTCAGCGATGCTGTCGTATACTTCGATCTGAGTTAGTGCAGTGGTAATCACGATATGTGGGTTGGCAAAGGCAATCTTAGCCAAGGCTCTCGCCATCGGGCGTACATTGGTGTTGGATATCCGTTTCAGTATATCCTTGGTCTCAGCCCTGGCTTGATCAAACGCTGATTTGACGTCGGGGTTGCGAGAGGTTCTTCCAGATGACCATTCGAGGTACATCAGATAGCGGACATTCACCGGGAAAGTGCTGACTAGCTCAAAGACCTCGTTGACCACACCCGCATTTGATTTGGTCAAGCTCAGCGATGGTAGGAGAGTGCGCTTGACCAGATCCAGCCATCGAGATCGGGTAGACTCGCTTTTGTCAACCTGTAGGTTATGCTTTCCAATCCGGGCTATCTTAAGGAGAAGGCCTGAGTCTTGTCCGATCTTGACGCCAACGAGGGGTAGCAAAGTATCGCAAAGTGTAAAGACATCTTCGACAGTTTGACAGACTGGGATATTGTCGTTCCACTCATCCCAATAAAACCGATAATCAGTGCCGTCGAGGCTATCATTTTTGTCCAGCTGAGCCCATCGGAGTACCTTTCTCTCGGCTGTTTCCACAACTTTGACCTGTCCTTTCGGGACACCCGGGACGTCGGTCTCATAGCTGGGTTTCTGGTTCCGGAGACTTGGACGATCTTGTAGAGGTTGTACCATCCCGTACACTTTGCTCAAGGAGTGATGCAGTATCCGGTATACATATTCTGGAAGGTCGGGAATTAGTGTCATCAACCAAGGGAAGCGACCAAGGATAAAGAGAGCTTCGGGTAGTGCCCCAATGGCAAGCAGGCTCTTAAGTAAAAGAACTTTCTGGTCCGCAGGCTCGTTCTCTTTCGAGGTCACCTTATCTGCCTCTGGTTCTTTGGATGGGGTGTTGGCTCGTGTGGCTGACTCTTTCAGACGAGGTGGCGCAGGTAAGGTATCGTCTACCAGTGCCCCAGCCGCCGTGAGCGCATTCCGGGCACCTGCTCCAGGCCTGGCAGCCCGTTCTCGCTCTTGCTTTTCTCGTGTCTTTTGCTCTTTAAGCTCTTCCATTACATCGTCCGTTCTCCAGATATGGGGGTACAAGTCTTTGAGCGAGACAAACCCAATCTTGATGAGGAGAGCGGAGAGGTAGATGAGATTATCTGGAAGGACATCTGTTTCATCCCTCGCTGGCGACGATGAGTAGAAACGGAGTTTAAATCCCAGAAGCTGTGCAGCGTCTCGATTACCCGATGGCGGCAATGTGCCAGTTTCGCGAATCCACTGGGCGAGTAGATCGTCGCCTGATGATGATGAAGCCCTTTCCAAAACTTCCTGCGGCACTTGTGATTTTCCGAGTAGATAGAAAGCTTCAAGGCCTCGCTCTCGAGCCACAGCCCAAAAAGCCTCATCACGAGTCCGGGTTTCCTCTGCAACAACCTGTTTTTGCTCTTCTGTGAGGTGCCAATCAGGAGAACCAGGAAGTGCCCACTTTGGAAGGCCTGTCAGAGTTGGAATTTTCTTGGATGAGGTTGTTGATCGAGGCCACCATGGACTAGCGCGAAGGAATTTGACGAAGAACCGACACTGCTTCACTAGAACGGCACTGAAGACGTCCAGAACGACATCCAAACTTCGACCCACGTCTAGATCAAATGCACCGATCATAGCCTTGACTTTTTCTACCGTATCCTCGACGGTTTCTGCAGTCGGGGCTTCGCTGCTGCTGGTAGTGAACAACTCAGTCATCAACTTTGCGAACCCTTCAGACTCTTCCCTCATAAGATTGAAATTCGCTTGTCTGTAGAGAAGATTGGTCTGCTTTCTGATGCCCATGCGATTGAATGTATTCCTGATCAGATCCAATTTCTCCAGCAAAGTTGCGTCGAGCTCGTGTCGTAGTAAGTCGTGAGATATTTCAGTTGAAAGGACAAATGCAGAAAGGCGATCGAGCGGCATCATAGGATTGCCCTCGAAGACGACAGATATAGAATCCAGGAGGGCGGCTTGCAAGGCTGTGGGATGTGGTGTCGGCTGACTATCTTCATCTGCAATCTCGCTGTTAAGCATTTGTTTGACGAGGTCACCTGCTTCTGATGGACTAAGCCTGCCGAAAACAACGGTCTGGACAAGCTCCTGCATCAAAGCGATGAGTTGTGTCCCATCTTCTTCCTGCACACTTTGCAGACCCTGCCGCAGGACATCTTCCCTTCCCCCAGTCTGCCATGACTCACAAACTGCATTTGTTAAGTAGGTATAATTGTAAGGCTGAGGTTCAGGCGGGGGGGTAGATAAGGCAGCGCTGTCGTGAGGATCTTGCTGAGCTGTGAACATTGTGCCGTTTGACGTGCTGGGCTCGCGTTCGGCTAATGGCGCCTTGGTCGCAGGAGGAGGTTTGTCTGCTTGATGATGGACTGGGCTAGACGCAGGGTTGCCGCCTCGACCTCCTCTGCTTGATCGCCGACCACCTCTTCCACGTTGTTGGCTATAGTCACGATCATTTCCTGACGTGTGATACGCCGTTGACTGGGCGAGACTGAGATTTCCCGGTCGATGAGGTGAGGGACGAGAATGTGGCTGATCATCTGAATATGTTCGCTCCGGTCGCTTCCTTTTAGCGCCAGGCGGCAGGGGCATCACGTCCAGTCGTCAAAAACTGCGGCCCCGGCAAGGCTGTCTTCAAGAGGTCTGTCCTCGTAGTTTTCATGGAGGAGGCCGCGACATCCAGTTCAACAAAGGGCGATCGGTTTGGATTCGACGAGCAGTACTGGACAGCTTAGGCTTCGCGTACAGCTGCAAAGTCGTCAAGTTGAGGGTTGTTTTAAAGGAAAAGGATCGTCGCGTCGGAGGAAGGGGAAGGTGATGGGACTGTGTTGGCCTTTGATGCGTGAAGAGAGGGACAGTACGAAAGAAATCCGGTTATGGAAAAGCGTGATATTACGGTAAATAATTTATACCCATAGCGCAGTTTCAATAACTCTCGAACAACATAAACGTCATTGCGCCCTGACGACAGTGGAACTCCACACAGCAGCCAAGCCAGCATCATCACATAAAACCCTAGGTTAAGATCTTTCTTGTTCAATCTGTAACGACGATATGGCTAAGATCTTTGCAACTGGAACTACTGGCTATATAGGGGGCGATGCTCTCTACCTCATCTCACAAAAACACCCAGAATGGGAACTCACATGCCTGGTTCGGAACAGTGACAAAGGCGCCAAAGTTGCTGCTGTCTATCCGAAAGTGAGGTTGGTCTACGGAGACTTGGACACTGTAGACCTGATCGAGGAGGAGGCTGCCAACTCCGACATCGTCTATCACTTTGCCAACTGCGACCATGAGGCTTCGGCGCGCGCTATCGCTAAAGGGCTCGCACGGAGAAACCGCGAAGGCACTGGTTACTGGATTCATACATCCGGAACACTAATTCTCGGCTGGGAAACAATTGACCTTGCCGACTTTGGTAACAGATTGGATAAAGTGTATGACGACTGGGACAACGTGGGCGAATTGATATCTCAACCCGACCACGCTGCTCACAGGAATGTAAGTACACCATGCTATCACCCTTTTAATATCACATATGACCTAAAATGAGGTACTGTGTGTCTGACGTATCACTCACCTGTGGTCTTTTTTATCTCTCTTTGGAGGTGCCGCAGGTCGCAGGACAAAGCAAGCTGCCCCTAGATGAAGCGAACATGTCCCCTCGACCATCTACTCTCCTGTTAGTCCTTTGCTGATATAACATTTTCCAATCTATATAGGTCGATAAGATCGTTTTGGCTGCTTCATCGGAAAAGGTAAAGACGGCGATCGTATGTCCTCCAACGATATGGGGTCGAGGTAGAGGCCCAGACAATACACGTTCTGTTCAAATATACATGGCAACTTCAAGCTTTCTAAAGCGCCACAAAGCCTTCAAAGTCGGTAAGGGGGAAAATATCTGGCACGAAATCCATGTTCAGGACTTGTCGAACCTCTACCTTCTCCTCGGCGAGGCTGCTGTCAATGGCGGCTCGCGGGCGACCTGGAATGACCAGGGTTATTATTTGGCTGAGAACGGTCCTTTTGTATGGGGAGATTTGATCCAGGAAATTGCAAATGTTGCTCATAAAAATGGTCTACTGCCAGAAGCAACTGTGGAAAGCCTGAGTCCGACAGAAGCTGAAACATTTCTCCCCAATGCCAGGCTGCTGATGGGGACCAACTCAAGGGGGGGATCCATTCGAGGAAAGAAACTGCTGGGTTGGAAACCTGTTATGCATGGAATTATGGAAGAAATTCCCGAGTGTGTGGAGAGCGAAGCCGAGCGCCTTGGTCTGATCAAACGCCATGCAGCAAAAGTTGCAGGATAGATCGGTCCACCTCATTCAACCACTGGAAGTGGAGTAAGAGGTGGTTGAGGTGGTTTGTTCTGGACACTCACAAGGTCAGCCGTGATTGTTATCCCCCTCAAAGCCGCCCTTCGAGGAAATACATGTATGAACCCATCTCGGTCAATGTTCTTGCTGTCCCGTTTCCAATGAATCGATAGTGGATCGAGAATGACATCGAATGGTTATCTGCATTGGACAGACCCAATAGTCTCATCGCTCTGCTGCCGTGGTGATAGGTTGATGTCACCTCCTAGGAAGAGGGTGAGGCGGAAATTCCCCTGACAGGATTGCTTTGGAGGCGGAGGATTGTGCGGCAACGCCTCAACCGACTCAGCCTCGTTCGACATCAGACTGTTGTATCTCCAATGGCGGTTTATTCCACAAGGGTAGCTTCGCAAATTCAACCCGATTGGGACTATCGCTTCGATTGTACGAGGTACGGAGATATGACTTGAGACCTCCGCATCAAGGACGCCATTGGCCACTGTAGTCAAGCTCCCGGGTTACCTGGCGTCGAATCGACTTCCCAAGACGGCAATGCGCAATCTCATCGCGTCTTGCATCTCAGCAGCACCAGGGTCACTAACCCAGCGACAACAGCCCAACTGTTGTCGATAGCGTATCAAAGATATGCCGCTGCGCATGCTGGCGTTCCTCCGACGCCCTTGTCTGCCTTGTCATCCACAGGGAGGGTCATGGGATGGTTAATTGAGACCGCTATATATAAGAGCAATGGCACTGGACGACCGCTCCCACCTCACCGAGCAGCAATCGCAATCCCACAGCCTGAGGACAAATCTACACTGTACATACGCAAGACAGAATCTCAAGTTTACATACAATCCAAGCGCAGTCGAGCCTCGGAATCCACCACCACCACCACCACCACACGCCCGAGACAATGTGCCTTCCGCTGCTTTTCGTGGTTCGACGCCTGATTAATCGAAGCCAAGAGGCGGACGAACACAATTCCAGAGGGGTGGCTTACGACAATCAGTCGACCTGGCAGCAGAGACCGAACCCGCAAGGACATGAAGACAGCGGCCGAGGTCATCGTTCCGGAAATAGAGAAACGCGACACTAAGGATGGTGTTTTTGGCATTGATCTGTACAAGCCCCGACCACCAGTGACGACCTCAATCAAGCACTGACCGATAGTCCGCAGGCAGAGTTTGCGGAACCACGAAACGACCGCCGCTTTGACAAGACATGGGCTTTTGGCTGTGTCAGTTTAAAAGAGTCTCTTGGGGTATATACAGGCCTATCGACCTATCGGTTATGCCATGGTCATGATATTCGTTGCATTGATGTTGTTGGTTTTGCCACATCTTGAAGCAACCTTTTGTCTTAGACAGCCGTTTTGCAGTCAATAGATGCGTTGATCCTTGAGTCTTGGTATCAGTCTCCAATGTTGTTTGTTCAGTGAGAATATTCGTATGAGCTCCCTTCGTAGCAACTATGGGCAATGGCAGACCATTGAGTCAATTTCTACCATTCAGCCGTGCGCAGGTTCAGCTCAAGGCCCATGCTCCAGGCGCGGGGTCTCAATACCGAAATGCCCTTGTGTGTAGCAAAGACTCACGGATGGATCTGCAATCCTGTTCGCATGGTTCGCGCCAGCATGTAGAATGGATGATGTGGCGTGTTTGCAGCACTTGAGAGCGGAACCAATCCAAATCTGCGGAGACAAAAATTTGGAGCATTCTCATCTCCTTTCTGCAATTGGCTTTTGTATGCAGATCCGCAGCAACCCAGTGACGAATACTGTAAACTCTTTCACCTCCTCTTGTAACATATCTAGGCATCTTAATTCTTCTGGCACCGGTTTGGTTGCCCTTCCAGCATGATCAAAGGGAGCTGTGCCTGCGGGCGCGTCCAATATGAGACTCAAGCTCAGCCCCTTGGCCTGACAGCCTGTCACTGCGTCACTTGTCAACGCGTTTCAGGTGGACCGTATCTAGGATTCGTCGGTATTCCTGCGTCGGCAGTCAAATGGAAACAGCAGCCAGATATCTGGTATGCGAGTGACATTGCGGAGCGCGGCCACTGCAAGTCCTGTGGCTCTGCGGTCTTCATGCGGTACTTTTTCGAGGCAGATCGCACTGCGGTGACTCTGGGAACAGTTATTGAGGCCGAACCTGCTCTCCCAGCCTTGGGGGCACACATCTTTTTAAAGGACAAAGCACAGTATCTTGTTCTTGCAGATGACGGAGCCACCCGATATGATGAGTTTTCTGAGGAGTTTCGCAACAAGATCGAACAATGGAGAAGGCAACGGCAGAGGAGGGAAGAGGGCGAAACAGTAAGCATGAACCTGCAAGCAGCCTCTTTTGACTGCGACTGAATTGTCCCAGAATTGAAGTGAAAAAGGAATCATGTGGGAGCAAACGTATCTGACAACAACAACAAAGATGATCAATCAGACCAGTGAATTCTGCCTCACCAGCTCCAAGATGAATGTTTCTTTCTGTCCTCTTCATCTTGCACCCATTCTCGACTGCTCCATCTGCCCAACTTTCCCTCTCACCACAATTCTTTCTTCCTCTCTACCTTCACATCCTCATCATCACTGCTCACTTCTCACGCAACCATGTCATCAGAATCGTCACTAGCTTCATCCTCAAAAGTGCCGCCCGGTGCGCCCACTGAGCCCAAGTCGTTTCGTCTCTCAGGAATGGCCTCCCGTTCACGACTCCATCCCAACCCTAATCGCTGGGCTCGCGTGCCTTCCCCTTCAGTGCCCCGTCACAGCAGCAGCCCCCTCGTGCACAGTCCTTTGCAGCAGTCATTCCCTGCTTATCCAGACCCATCAAAGTCAGCTCCTAATTCTCCAGGAAGTGCAACTATGCAGCAAACGCCTTCTCGTCGGTCACGGCCCACCGAGCAAGGTGTTCGCCCACGAGGAGAGTCCCGTTCGTCATCTGTCCCCATAGTTGTGCGGATTCAGCAAGATTCAGAGACTGAAGGTGAAGGTGAAGGCACAAGTCAACGCTCAATGCACATCCGCACCCGACCTAGCTCACGGGCTAGTTCATCCTTGCCCTCACCAGGAGACAGCCAGGATAGTCACAATCGTCGCTCTGTGAAACATCTTACTTGTTTCTGGTGGTGGGAAAAAGGGAGTTGCAAATACTCTGAAGACGATTGCTGTGAGTTGATCGCGCCAGGCTGAAAGGCGTTCAGGGGCCTTCCAATGTGGTTTTCCAGTACTAACATTGAATTAGTATATGCTCATCATGATACGGGCCATTACACGGCTGCACCTCGCCAGGTTATTCCAGGGGAACCGGCCAAAGCAGGCAGATCTCTGGAACGCGCATTGAACAAACTTGCTATTTCAAATCGATCATCCGCCTCGGTGTCGTCTCTTGCTGGCGTGAACACTCACAATCCCGAATGCGAGAGTACCGGCAATGGCAGCAATGCAGTCTCCAGACCTGTCACTCCGCTCATAAACCACAACCGGCCTTGCACCCCTTCTCCTCGCATGAGCATGGACCTTGGTCTCGCTACTCACCTCCAAGCGGATAATGAGTTCCTCCGCGGTCTCGTCCAGCAAACGCAACGAGAGAAGCACGCTTTGATGGACACAATCGAGGCTCTCCAAGCAGAAAAATCTCAGCTGAATGCGCAAATCGAAAAGATGAGCCAGGAGCGCCACGCACTACTTACAGAGCGGGACATCTTGCACGCTACAATTAAGAAGCTGCAATTTCCTACTGGAATCAACCCCTATATTCAGGGTCATAGCCACATTGTACCAATAAGATCCCCGAGCGCCACCACTTTTCCAAGTCACAATCCCTGGGGTGCGATTGGAAGTGGGAGTCGAGGAACTAGCACCAGCCCAAACGGCACACCTGTCGACAGCCCTGCCATACAACCGCGCAGCTTCAGTTTCGCCGCCCAAGCAGCTGTCGGTCCTGTGGGCAGCATCCCGGCTCATCTCGCCTACAACACTGCGCGGATGGGTATGAAAAGCTCATCTGACACAATCTTGGACACCGCCATACCAACCTATGGATCCGTCAACGGTAATGGTGTCGAGCGTGGAAATATAAAGGCAGATGCGCAGCTCGCCGAGAATCTTGTCTCAAGCAACATGGAAGGGGAGAGGCTGAAGGATCTGTTGAGCAGCCTGGGACCGAGTTTTTAAGATCGTCATTCCCTACAAAGCTGAGAACCGCGACACGACATTATCTGAGCGACCGAAAAACGATCCATAGAAAGATCACTGTCACCTCTAATCAACTTACGCGAGGCTTCGTAGTCGCCGAAGGCTCAACGAACTTACAGACCAATAAGACCTGGATACGTCTGACATAATATGTCCCCGAACGACAGTGTATGTGAGAAAATAACGAGACACCTGGACCAACAGCATGTGCAATACAACGCGAAAAGTGGCCTTATCCGGCTTTGCCCCTAAATTTTAATATGTCCCGAGTGTTCACCAGAAAACAACAAATATCCCAAACAAAGAGGAAAAGCAGGAAAGAGGCCCAATCCTGTCCAAGTGAAATGTCACGTCAGACTTGAAAGCTGTGGAGCGACTAGACAAGCTTGCTGGACGAGGGCGAGGCAGGCAGGGAGATGTTGGGATCGATCAGGGGCCTAGACATGAGGATGGAAAAACAGTTGAGCTTTGATGAATTGGGGCTGGATAATGAACCGGACAGTTGTTTCTTCCCTCTCAGTCCTGATACTTGCTAAAGGTGGACCAGTCCTGTGCTGAATGGGACAATATTCACACGCTACACCATGCTGAATAGGAAATCCTATACAGTAGCAATGAGCTTGGATAGATAGAAGAACCTTCCCCCCTTCCCACTTGTCATTGGTGTCAAGTTTCTCAGTTGTCTCCCCTTTGCTGAATTCTTCATGAAAAGCGATCTTTCTTTTGCACGCATTGACGTCTGAGATACTCGGTATTTTCCTCTTTTGAGTCTCCAGATCAGGGACAACGGTCCGAACGATGTTCAATCGCACTGGAGGCATGTAGACCTCACTACACAGCACCAAAAGATCAGAAGGTGCTCTGCGCCAACCGACTGGCGGCGTTCCTAGCATCGACACGATCTTCATCTTCGTCTTCCTTGACCCTCTCCAGACTGGCTCCGGTCGCACTTCTCGGTCGCCCCCCTTGAGCCACTCCTGCACCATTCGTCCCATTTTCACTCTCTTCTGGAAGAGGAACACCCAGCGCGCCAGGGCCAAAGCTTCCAGACATGCTTCTAGAAAGAGCATCCCTGCTTCGCGGAACACCAGACCATGCATCGCCTTTCGCACCCTGACTGCTGGCCATGCTAATCCGCCTTACGGTGGGATGGTTCTCCCGCCCCAATCTGCTCAGACCACCAGACGCATCAATTGCCCGGATATCCGGCCTAACACTTTCGAGAGTTGCAAGCGTGCGGCGCTCTGCTTCGATTTGACGCAACACGTACTCACGAAGGGAGAGCATGAATTCAGCGGACGTGCGACTGAACCAGCGTCTTTTCTCGAGCAGTAAATTTGCCGTCACGCGTTGGGTTTTGGAGCGAAGGTAGTTTTCTTGAGAGATTGCTTCGTCGAGCGCAGAGATCGCTTCATCAACTTTATCTCTGCGAACGCTGGAAGAGCTTTTGAGGCGTTGGACCGCGTTTTCCTTACTCCGGCGGGATGCCTCTGTCTGGAGGAGCTCCCGGAGCAGGATATGTCGATTCGTCAAAGTTTCCTTGACGATGAAAGCGTCAGAGGAGTGATACGCAAGTGCATCCCCTAATGTCGTGGCTTCAGCAGTTCCTTGCGCGGCATGGTAATCCCCGCATGTTTGAATAATGCGACCGAGTTTGCGGTATGCTGTCGCCAGACCTGGGTGTATCTCTTGAACACTCATTTGCCCAAGTTTTTCTCCAAGGGACGATTCTGCGAGGCCAAGTGCTGTGAAAATGTCAGCAAGCGAAGAACCTGAAAGCGTTCCACCCACAACTCACCGCGTCTGGCCTTAACCACCTTCTCAAGTCTTTGGCTTGTGTCCAGCGAACTGAGGTAGAAGGCCTTGACAATAGGCCTCGCATCGTGCAGCTCAGGCGTATCATCAGGCGGTGGTGCGAACTGTTTTAAGACTTTCCGCCTTACACCAGTCGCTGGTTGTTTCATTCTCACCACAGGGGAGTACCCAAAATCACTCTCCACAAAAAATACCATCTCCTCATCACGCATGAGGACATCGTTGCCACATACAGCATTCAGCCATCTTTGAATTGCCGCCTTGACCCGGGCTTCATCTTCGTCAGTGCCTACTCCGGCCGAAGTTTGAGCGGGAGGCACGGCAGGGACGAGGGCCTCTGGGTTCGAAGATATAAGATGGTCCGCAAGTTTGACGAATTCCGAGTGTGTTCGACGGACATCTCGGAATTGAGTTGTACGGAATTTGGGGAGGTTAGTCTTTCAGAACAGTCAGCTTGCACCCTCTCCATAGACAACCGCAACGCACATAAACATCAAATCTGATAACGGGATCTTTGCGTCCCGTTCGCTCCAACGCAGTCACTTTGGCTTGCAGTTTATATTGTGGTACCGGCCTGTTCTGCCTTGCGCTATGATATCTTGCTGCGCCGGGTCGTTGCTGCGGCTGACCAGCATATTGTTGCCCAACCGCTGCTCCTTGGGGATCTTGGGGATGTATTGCGGAAGCCTGTGCATGCGCTGCGGCCTCTTCTGGATTTTGATGCTGTGGAGCAGCGACCCGATCTCCGGAGCCCCCGCCATCTCTAGGAGCAGACACATTAGATTGATTCGGAGGTGGTAGGTAAGGGCTATCAGGAATGCTGTCTTGGGATTGATTGTAGGAATGCCCTCGGATCGGTTGTGGTGACTCTGGAGAATCTGGTGGGGGTTGGGCAAACCCTCTAGAGGTACGGGGAGAAGAAGAACCCCAGGGTGAGGCGCCGTGAAGAGCGTCGGCCTCACTAGCAGCAGCTGAGTAGTCCATAGTTGCGAGTGTGACAGCGGAGAACTGCTCACGTTGTAGTGCAGACAATCAAGCGGGCATTCGGCAGTTGTACAGGACCAAGACTGAGCTTTCCAAAAGGTGTGTTCAGAGTTGGTGTGGAACAAGTCGCGCAGAGTTCTGTAGAGTTTGTAGAGCAGGACCGAGGTGAAGCTGCTTGATCGGTGGTATGGTTGGTCTATCACTTGTGGTCCCTGTCCATTGTCTATAAGTCGGAGCAAAGAGTTGCAGCGGGAAAACTGCGCCTGCCCACCAGCCTAATATGGTTAGTGGATGCTGCTGCTTTATGAGGGACAGAATTTCTACATTTTCTCGAGCCTCGTCGGTTTTGAGGACTTGAAGCATCCAGCTCGAGTCACTCATTCGGGTCCTGCTTTCGTATCCTTTTCAGCGTTCGTGACCTTGAAATTTCTGGTGTATAATCTCATGTTGATGTGGTTGGCTAGGACCATTTCCACTTCTGAGAGGGGATGAAAGTCCATGCGCAATTCATTAGGCACTCCCCTCTAATTGATTTTTATCGGTCTCGCTCTGCTTTTTCATTTATTCGGACTCAGTCGAGAAATATTCGGTCAACATGTCCGCGCGCAGCACCTGCAGCATCAACACCACAGAACCCAAGACCTTCGAGGACAAGAAATATTGGCATCATTGCCCATATCGATGCGGGCAAAACGACCACAACGGAGCGCATGCTTTATTACAGCGGCCATACTCGTAGGATAGGTGATGTCGATGAGGGTTCTACCGTCACCGACTTTCTTCCTGCTGAGCGGGCTCGTGGGATCACCATTCAATCTGCGGCCATCACCTTCGAGTGGCCACCAGCGCATGCTGCACCACCTCCGACCTCGACCGATGACATTGAAATTCAGCCTCGTGCACGTTTCCCGCACACCATTAATCTAATCGACACGCCGGGGCATGCTGACTTCACTTTCGAAGTCCGCCGATCGTTGCGCATCTTAGATGGTGCTGTTTGTATTCTGGATGGCGTCGCTGGGGTTGAAGCCCAGACTGAACAAGTATGGGCCCAAGCTGGCGAATGGAACATCCCACGAATAGCGTACATCAACAAGCTCGACCGTAACGGCGCGGCTTTCGGAAGAACCGTTCGTGAAATCGGCTCTCGCTTGGGCGGTTGGCCCGCGCTTTGTCAAATCCCATGGTTCGAGGGTGGAAAGGGCCGTTTTACTGGCGTGGGAGATGTTATCAACTTGGAAGGATTGTTGTACGAGTGTGGCGGAGATGGCAAGGCGATAGAACGTTATCCCTTTCTGCGGTTGGAGCAAGAACATCCGGAGTTTGCACGGGAATTGCGAAGAGCTAGGACGGCACTGGTTGAACTACTCAGTGAGCATGACGATCAGCTTGTCGAAGCCTTTTTCGACGCCGAGGAGGACCACCTCAAAGTGAGTCCTGCTCAGATTTGGGAGAGCCTGCGAAGGTGTCTCCTCACACCGCATTGCTCGGTTATCCCAGTCTTTGCTGGCGCCAGCTTTCGTAATATTGGAGTACAACCTCTCTTGGACGCTGTCAACAATCTCATGCCATCTCCGGAAGAGCGCCCAGATCCCGAGGTTGGTCTTGGGTCGATCTCTGGAGGGCTTTCGCAGCTGATTAGAGGGGATTTGTCACTTGAGAAACCAGCGTCAAAGTCCAAGAAGAAAGGTCCTGAGTTGGTACCCGCGGCGATCGGCAAGGCTTTGCAGGGTTGTGCGTTAGCATTCAAAGTGGTCAATGACCCACGGAAAGGTATGCTTGTCTACATCCGCGTCTATTCGGGAGTGATAGAACGAAATGCCCTCCTTTTCAACACCAATCTTCAGAATTCGGAGAGGGCGACAACTTTACTGCGGATGTATGCTTCGGAATCGGTGCCCGTTCAGTCACTCCGAGCTGGCGAAATTGGTGTCATTGCAGGTTCGAAGTTTGCTCGTACTGGAGATACCCTCATCTCCTATGCTGGAAACAAAGCCACACCACCCGAACCACTGCAAAGGCTACAACTGCGGCCTATCAAAGTGCCGCCGCCTGTATTTTTCGCGGCCATCGAACCAAATAGCTTGCGGGAAGAGAAAGATATGCACGAGAAGCTTGCACTGCTGTTGCGAGAAGACCCCAGCCTCCAGGTGTTGCAGGATGAAGATACAGGCCAGACG